ACCAGACAGGACACCCAAACAGGAAGCGCTAGGTATAGAGTATAGACATCTATAGACATCCCCTGACGATGTCATGTTCCCTCCAATCACCACCCGAAGTCGGTGTCAAGACTGACGTCTCTTGGTCTGCGGATGGATCCGGATGGATCCGGATGGATCCACGGAATTCTTCGTCTACCAGGCAAACATGGGCTTGGATGTTGTGCCGAACAATCAGGGGAAGAGGTATAGATAGGTATAGGATGCCAGGAAAGATGGAGTCTAAATGCCAGCATGTAACATATTTAAGTACAATTAGATACAATTAGCACATCGATGTGGTGTGGAACACCCAGGTGACAGATCAGACTCTGGGCTGACTCTAAAGGCTCAGACTCGGTCGGCCATAAGAGAGACACATGGATCAAATCATCTCGACGGGACCCCATCGTTGTCCCAGACACGACCTGTCTGGGACTGCCAGACTGCCACGGCCAGGGGTGGTACATAGAGGGGCAGTCCTAGGGCGGCAGTCCTATGGCAGTCCCAGATAGGTCGTGTCTGCGTTTTCTGTTCTCAACATGTTGAGACCGTTCAAAACTTTCCTCCCACAGCTGCCCTGCAGAGGCCAAAGAAGCGGGCAGGGATTTTTACAGCACACGCATGCGCTTGGTCTTAGGGCGAGACTTCGACCCTGTGATTGTTTACTCAACATTCAGCAACCTCCCACAGGTCTCCCTTGGTGACGTGCTGGAGGTCGAACCCTTGGTGACCTGTCCAGTCGGGTGCGTCCCCATCAGGACCGTTGTACCCGACTGATCACTCTTGATCTCTCTGGATATTCTGTGCTTCACGGACACAAGGACCTCAGTGACCCTGCTGGCAAGAGGCATCGCAAAAGCCGGTAGTGCTGGTAGTGTTGGTAGTGCAGTTAAACCTGGCTTGTCATGTCCCGCTCCACATCGAGGCTTCAAATCAGGACATCCACTTAAACAAGGTCACCACAACCCTGCAAATGGTGGTCATTCAGGGGCCTTGACGGCACGTTTAGATGGAACATCCACCGTAGACGGGCCTGAAGAAGGAGACCAGACTGCATTCAGCGTCTACTCAGCTACTCAGCAAAGGACAATGCACGTGTTTCCATCCGTCTTTTCACCCTAAAAGGAGAACCTTTGAACGAACAAAACAATGCCTAAAGATAATATGTCATCGCCTGAAGTACCTAGCGCTTCCTGTCTGGGTGTGCTGTCTGGTGACCTATAAGCAGTGTAGGGCTGTCCAGCCAGGTAACCCCTTGGAAGCAGCTGGCATAGATGCCTCTTTCTTCAGTCTCCTCGACTCGCCCCGAAAGCTTCGCCCCTTTCAGGGTGTCCGAAGGACATCCCAAAGCACGCAAAGGGCCCCGACAGATCAACAGGTCTCCTTTTGGGGGGGAAAAAGAGCGTTGTGGTCGGCCCTGTGAAGGGTCCAATTAGCTAGGAGTAAAAAGGGCATCGCTACTAGTAACAAAGGGCATTACTACTAGTAGCAAATAGCTACTAGTAGCTACTTCACCGGACAAAGGTGAATTGGTGACCTGTGAAGTTGGGTGCGCCCGTAGAGATTCCTGAAGGGCTGGACCCCACCGACCCCACCCTCATTCCTTGCATCGCACTAGTCAGGGGAGTATGATTTTTCTCAATCAAACGATCCGAATCGAACTCGGTGGGTGTGGCTAGACTGCCCAGCCATTTACTTGTCTATAGAGGTTTTGTGGCTCGGCTTGCTTGTAAAGGCCTTATTTGTGTTGATCATTTTGATGTGTACCTCCCAGTTGTGAGCCATCCATAGCCCATGAAGTGCCTGCACCGAACCTACAATTTGTTGAGAGGGAATGGACTTTCTGAAGCTCGGTGACCGCGCAAACAACATGTTTGCGTGCAAACAATTGCCAACACCTCCCGTAACAAATGGGTTGGCGAAAACCACGGCCTACAAGATGTACCCCATTGCAAGCTGCGGAGAAGGACCCCAACATCACACCCTTGTATGTCCAGGATCGGCCTATATGTGCCCTAAGGATCCTTGGACCATCCTTAGAAGGGGTCGAATCCTCTAGTTCACAAGGGTTTGTAGCCTCAAAACCCTTGTTTTTGAGGGTGCGGATCCTTAGGGTGTTGGATTTGATTGAAGCATGTCCAACAAGATCGGACAATCGTCCCAGCTCGCGACTCGGTGAGTTCGTCTGAGTCCGGCCACATGGAGGCATGGCGAGGATCTCCATCTCCGTGCCCATCATCTTGTTGTAGCCCGCCATCGGTGCAACCCGATGTACCCAACTCACACAGTGACCCACAAAGTGGTGGAAACTACTACACTCCGCACTCCTGCTAGCTCCTAGCTCAAACACCTCTGGGGGGCCTGTTTCTTTCATGTACAGTTTCTTCGCCAGGTTTGGGCCGCAAACGTTAGAAACATATCCGACCTGGACTCCTCAAACAGCCAACTTCATGCTCACATTGAAAGACTTTCTTTCATGGATGAGGCTTGGTCGACCCAGGGACAAACCAGTGCTTCGGTAGGTCCGGGAAACTGAGTTGGCCCAGGTGTGCTGGATGGTAGCAACTTGGGTCACGGGATCTTTTCAGGGTTGTGCCTCCATGTGTTCACGCATTTTCATATGCATTGCAGCCAAAACGCCAGCAAACTCAAGAAGACTTATACGAGCAAAGTCGCTAGCCCTTTGAGCCATAGGTCAAGTGAACGGCGAGCAGGTCGACACATGGAGGTGAGCACTGGAGGAGGCGAGACCGACCCAGCAAACGATGAGCAGAATAGTCAAAGAAAGATTAGCAATGTGATTGAAATTGACTATTCAATGACTTTTGTCAGAAATTGAGGCGATTTTGACTTTCATAGATTCTGTCAAAGAATTGTCTATGAAAGTCTACTCAATCTTAGCAATGTGCCACTGGCGGAGTTCTTGGTGCTGGGGGTGACCCATCTGTCAAACGCCTCCCAAATTCGAACAAAGGGACCGGTCACCTCATGACACCGCACTCCTGCGCGGGCCTTCCCAAAGCGATGCAACAAAAAAGAACAGTTTTTCGATGGCACGATGGCACTGGCACCCCGGTTCGATGTCTTTGACCAGATGGGGGGTCCATACTTGCACCGAACCTGGGGGCCCAGCTCCGTGCGTCCTTACCGATGGGGTCATAGCACCCGGAGCCGACCCGGTGTACTGTTGGATTTTTTTGCGCCATGACCGTCCAGACCTTCTTGGAAAGCTTGTGTTGGTCAAAACCCCCTCACATCCCTCACCTTTCTTTGGCCGGAATTGCCTCGTGAAACAGCGGAGGAGACATAACATGTAACACAAATGCATGCATATTGTATATATATATATAATGTATTAATTGATGTACATATCGCATTGCTAAGTTTGTTGGGCTTTGAACACATCTTTGCCCACGGCTCAAAAATACAAATGCGACAACCACTGGTGAGTTCGGAAGAATGAACGTAATCTCTTTCACTCGGATTGGAGACCATTGCCTGTGGAAGAATGATGAACTTGATCTGTTCCATGAAATGACCTATTCCGGGATGTTGAGTGACGTATCAATCCTGACCTTTATGATTCTTCATTCTTGGCTGGCACAGCTCACATGAATTACTCACACAAAATTAGATAATCATAGGCAGCTATCTGTAACTTTGCAACTTTTCACCACACGATGCCAAAGTGCTGACCCCTACGAAGTGGCAAAGTTGATAGACATTCCCAGACACTCCATGTATGACACATATAGACCCCCCGAACCACCCCAATGTAGGCATGGCAGTCCCATTAGTCGTGTCTGGGATTGGATGCATTTGGGAAACTGAGAAGACCATGCACCCGCAAACCAAAAAACTGAGATCCTGCTGCCTTATAAGTGTGACTCCTCCAAGGAGAGCTTGGAATCCCGCCATTCGAGGCGGAAATCGGGGTCCAGATGTCTTTGGGGCTGATACTCCTTCACTGAGATCTCAGCCAGACACACGGAGTCCGAGATCCTTCACCTCCCTCAAACTCCAGAGTTCACATCTCCGTTAGAGGTCCAGTACTCAATAGTCTGACCCAACTTCTGACCCAGTATAACCAGGTCTTTTACATCCATAGTTTATGAATGTAAAAGACCTGGTATAGACCTAGGTCAGACTGGAGCTTAGTGTTTTTGTATGACATTCTCCTGACCACGTCCAGGTCTCCACACTCCACAGCCTGGCAGGGTCTAGACTTGGGACCGAACGTCGGGACCCGTCGTCGTGTCCGACCACCGTGTCTGACGTTGGGAACGTGGCCACCTCATGATCACCAAGGGTCTGACGTGACGGCGACGCAGCGAAAATCCAAAAATCCGGAAGAACGGAGAATTCTAGAATTCAGATGAACTACCCCAGACACTCCATGTATGCCATATATGCCTACATTGACCCCTCAAACCACCCTAATGTAGGCATATATGACATACATGGAGTGTCTGGGTACTGAACTACTGAATTCAGATGTAAAACTCAGAAGGGCCGTCTCCAAGGATCTGCCACCAATCACCCTTGACAACTTGATCGAAACCCGTGGTATGGCAACCCCCCCTCGGGGAAAATCTGAGTGTCTACAGGGTCAATCAATGCTACTAGGACTAGTGGGTTTCATGCTTGAGACAATACATGACACTATCACTACATCAGTTTCTCAAAGAAACATATCAGATGCAGCTTCAAATGGTATCGCTTCAAGTTGTCTATCCCCCAAAATGGGGCCCAGCCAAACCTCCCACACTTTTCCTCTAGGATTGAAAAGGGATTTGATTCAAGGTACACACAGCTGAAGAGGCACTGATTCAAGTGACATGCCACAGCAGTTCAAGAGTTTGGACAAACCTTCCCTTCACCGCCCTTGACACCTCTCTTTCAACCGCCCTTTCTTCACGCCGACCAACCCCGAATCCCCCCAGGTTTACGGGCCGAAAAGGATTTCTCGCTCCGACTTCTCGCCCGCCTTGTTGATGTTGCGGAAGGTCTCGTTGCCCTCGATCATCTTCGAGATCTGTGGCCTCGGTCGACGACGATCGATCCGGCCGCATCCGGTCGCAGGGGTCGAAATCCGGCGGAGGTGAGCGTTCGGCCGAGCTCTGGTTTTCAGGAGCCATTTAAGGAATATGCATGATGGAAAGTCGAATCTCCAGCCATCAAGAAGGTACTTGGTCAAGGCCATGGTCATATCATGTCATAACCACCATCTTCAAACTACATATTCTCCACAGTTTCATGACAACGCAACTTTGTCAAGACCGAAGCCTGCAAAACCTCCCGCCCCTGTGGGGGCCCGAAAGAAAGGAACCACGGTACCTTCACCATCATGGCCAGTCAGAACCCCGTCGTCGTGCGTCCGTGCGCCCGGGCCGGAGAAAGTTCCGAGACAGGGTGAAGCCAATCGCCGCAGCGGTCGTCCTGGGCGGACCCGCAGGTCGGTCACGCAGGTCGGTCCTGGGCGTAGAACATGGATTGAACGTGGCAGGTGTGCATAAAACCACTATATATAAATGTATATAAATATATAATTACTACTTACAGTAGTATAAAGCATATGGTTAGCATTATGGTAAGTGTATATCATGATCATATAATGCAATCATCTTGAGCTTTCTGGATCATTGAGGGACGAAATGAGCACCATATCGTGGTACTTTGACCAAGCCTGGTCCGGTCCGGTCATTCTTCCACCATCTTCCACGTCCCGGGGCTTCGCACCCGGCCAGGATGGAGACCAAAGAGCCCATGGGCAAACCTGGGATGAACGATTGGTCAGCCGGGCACCGACTGAGCCTGTTCTGGCACCGACTGACGCCCCCGGTGCCACACGTCAGCACCGTCACTTGACATGACCCCTGGTGACTCATGTCCAATCACGGCGTCTTCGTGGGTTGGATGTGATTGATGATATCATGTCGAGGCTTGGGAGATGCAATGTCCTGGCAACCCCGGTCATACCATCAACCCATCAACTGAATGTCCTTCGGTGTTTGACTCCTGGGTCTCTCAGCTGGAATCAAAGCTGTGGCTGAAAGAACACAATAAACATCCGCTGTGCTTGATGAACATTGGCGCAATTGTTGATCTCCAGTTCGCACTTTCATCAACTTTCCCGTTCACCAAGCGACCACACCTCAAAGTCCGGCACCCACATATCCAACATTCCAGGTCATATATAAACAGATGTCCTTCCATTGGGTGTGGTTTATACATGGAGTGTTGGATTGAAGGACCCCAATGGAATGTTCGGCGGGTCGTAAAATCAGAATCATCCGGTTTAGTAATTCATGTGTTTAACACTGGGTCGTAGAATCTTTCGCAGCACCAAAGAGTGACACTCAGTGCTTCGGCATGGCACACTCGGTTTTTCTGCTTGAAGAAAAGCTCTCGGTCCCCATTTGACACTGACATCACGTGCGCCACAAAGCACGGTGGTGAGCCCAAACCATCCATGGGACAGGAATAGTTACCTCATTTTCACGGGGTCAATGTATATGTAACTATTCCAGTCTCATGGATCGTCTAGGTCAAGTACGTCCTCAACATGGAATTCGCTCTTCAATAGAGATGTTCCCACGTTAGGCACAGAAGGAGTGCATCTTGACCTGTCGGCACAGAAGGGGTTGATGGTGCCTGTTCGCTCTCATGCATGTCACAAAAGCATCCAGTGGAGAACTCCCATCAGGACCTGTGAGACACTCAGGGCAGATCATTTCTGGTGTCGATTTCCATCACAATAGGTCTCCCCGTCCCCCAAAAACACCAACAAAAAAGGCACACCAGGTCATCAGCCGAGGTGCCAAAAAGGTATCCGGAAGACAAGGTCAAAGGCGCAGCTGGCAGTGCCAGGCATTCTGCCTGGCACTCACTCACGAGTCCGAGTACTGCTTGTGCTATTCCATTCTTTTACACATTTTTACACTATTCCATATCATTCAACAGTGCAAATCTCAGTTTTCAGAAAAAGACACCTCCAAAAACTAAACCTCCAAGTTTCATGAGGGGTGTAGTCCAGGAGCTGTGACATGTCTAGATCTCTTGGACGCTTGACGTACGTCGACTGTCGTACGTCTGCACAGGTCAAACACGATGGGCGCTGCCACCACGTAAATGACGAAGAAGTAGACAATTCCCATGGGGCCCATCCTCAGCGCGATGTAGCCGTTGTTTGCGGGAGCTGAGCATCAATGGCTTGCAGAAACGGTTGGTAAGACATTGAGAAAAAGACATCTCAAGACACGTCAACAAAACATATCATGTTAATGTGAGTCATGCCATGCCGACAAAAAGTTGAAGAAATCTATGGCATGTCCCATGTACACATTAATGGTCTATAAGGTCCTGCAACCGTCTTGATGAGAGACACATCAACCGCTGGGTGCGCAGCTCAGCCACTTGATCTGGAACCTGAGCTTTGAGCGAATGAAGAGTCCAAGCCTAACGGCTTTCAGCGGTCCGAGAGTCCAAGCCTAAGGAGATATAACCCTCCAAACACCCAGATACACTACTTGATTCCGACTTCAGGGTCCTTTCCGGGAGTGTAGCAATGCTACACTCACTACACGCTCGAGTTTTTGCCCGCCACCGATCGATCGTGAAATGGTCTGGTCTCGCTTCAACGCCCCAGCCAGCTAAAACATGTGCCCCATGACACTGTTGGACCCTGGTTTTTCCCACCAAACATGAATAGACAGCGAGACATGATGAACCTACCAGGGAGAGAGTGCCCAGTACCCGGGTGCCATGACCCACACACTGGGGTCCGTGGACCCTCAGCTGGAACGTCACAAGCTGAGTTCCTCGCATGCTGGATCGTGTCTTGAATGTAGGACAGGACCTGGTGTCCGAAGAGAACCATGGAGAGGCCATATCCAGGAGCCAGAATATAGTAGCAAGAAGCTACTATTTGCTCCTGGCAGTACTACTAGCAGCAAGAAGCTACTACTAACAAGGGCATTACTACTAATGGCAAGTTGCCTTACCGTAGAGCCATAATGTTCACTTCGCCTCTTCCCCTAGCTTAAGGACGTAGGAGCGGCGAAGAATGTGTGTAGCTTCTTGTTACTAGTAGTAATGCCCTAGTGACTAGTAGCGATGCACTTGTTCCTAGTAGCTTCTTGTTACTACTAGTAAGGCACTTGTTCCTAGTAGCGTCATTATTCAATGTACTTCGCCTCTTCCATCCTCTTCCCCTGCAATTTTTGATGCAATGACACACGTCGGTCACCGGTGTAACGGTTCAGCTTCCCTTGCTGCTGCTGGGACCTCACGACGTAGCAATACCCAGTCGTAGACGAGCTACGTACTGCAAATCGACCAACCTTTCAGGTCAGCCAAGCAATTGTGGGATCTCTCTTGGCCACCTCTCACTTACCTGTAGGAAATCAGGTCACTTTCCAAGGTCAAGCTCAGAAACAGCAACTGATCCTTGTTGGGATTTCAATGTTCTAATCTATCTGATTCCAGTACCGCCAGGAAAATATTAAAATCACAAGAAATAGCATACTTATTTAGGAACTTCCAACACACTCCCCCAAATGAACGATCCGCTTCCTCGTTTTTGCTTCCCTCCTCATTGCAACATCCTGCGCTCTTCTTCAGCTGTTTCGATCTGGCGGAGTGGTTTGGACCTCTCACGTCTCAATACGTCTCAAATTCCTGATCCGAAAAAGGCCGAAGACACCTCAGGAAGAGCTGCTTGAGCCGCTTTGCTCGAAGAAGACGAGCGAGGAGGCCTAGCGGCTAGAGCGGTACCGAACCCTGCCGCCGCCATCGTTCACATAGAGAGACCTTCCAAAGTCCCCAGTCGACAGATCCCGCTCAACTGGGTTCACGGGGGTGAAACGACCAGAAAACGGCCCCGCCAGAAACGCCAGAAAAGGGTCTTCGAAATCTCTGTGCAAATACTTGAGGATTTAGGACTCCAATCTCAGTGAACGGTTGATCAATGCGGAGGGCTGGCAACTTCTTCAACAAACCCCAGACGCTCCATGGGACTGCCATACTGCCGCACCATTGGGGTGGTGCCAGGGGGGTCTGTCTGGGGCGGCAGTCCGAACTGGCAGTCCCAGACTGGTCGTGTGGAGTCCCAGACCTCGAACGGCGAGGTGCACCGAGACCGAGGCGCCCGACGTCGTGCAGCTGGAGAAAAGACCGACAAGACCGAAGAGTCACGACCGACTCTGACGTCGGAGCTTCATGCTGCACGGATGCTGATTTCTGGCTGATCGGGATGCTTGGGAAACAGAGATAATCACTCAATCCTCCAATTTCCCAAATAATATGATACTACACAACTGCCGATCACTAGCTCTAATTAGTCAATAGAATTGTTTTTTTGTTCCCTGCAAACTAAGTCACTACAGTCAGAAGTTGTCTCGAAATCCTCTTCGAAGTAGTCCACTTTCAGGTTCTACTGTAAGATATGGTAAGATCAGTGTGGGAGTTTTCACACCTGCCGTCAGGTCCAGCACACCTGCCTTGAAGATCCCGCCGTCAGCTCAAAAGCTGGACGCTGCCCTGGAGCTTGACGCTGCGTTGGATCGCGGGGGCGGCCAGGTCCAGCCTGGCCATACAGTACCGACACCCTGAAAACCTTCATGACTGCTCCTCCTTCGGTTCTTTTCACCCTAAGAGAGGTCTCTCATTGATCTAGCCACTTCCTGATCCGTACACTTTGTCCGATTTCCTGGAAAATAGAGGTCGTCCACCTTTTTCTGTTCCACTCCTTTGGGCTAAACAGTGTTTACCCATGTTTCAAAACAAGGTTCTTTTCCACTCCTTTGGGCTAAACAGTGGGGAAACCAATTAAAAAGAAAAAAGAACGTGGTGTTGCAGCTATGATCCCAGTGATCCCCTGTTCTTGGGCCAACCGGCGGCCAACCGCTCGGAGCAACCGGGTCTCCCAGGTCGGAGCTTGACCGACCCGTCCGCGGACGGAGCCCGCTATCCGCCGTCTCCAACAACCGGAAAGAGAACACAGGACATTGCCCAGGATTTCCACCATCAAACAACGATTGGCTGAGTTTGGCTGTCTAAAATGCTAATATATATATATATAGTAAAAACAGGTCATAAAACCATATAGGGTTGTTCATGAACCCTGAACCCTCGATGGTTGGAATCGTAGGACTATGATGATATGATGATGAGATCTGCGCACCCCAAATGTTCAACCTGTCTCACCCCACTCATGCGCGGCTCGGCTCAGAGATCGCCTAAGGAGATCGCTGGATCACGTGCTTGGCCTGGTGAAGGAAGGGTACGGTCCAGAGCATGAAGAAAAATCAGGCCCTAAGGATCCATTAACCCAGCTGTGCAACCTAACAGCAGGTAGCAACTCATTTGACTGGAACTTGTCAAACACTCCAACTAACTATTGTGTCGCTAAAGCTCCAAGGCAACCCCAATCCATTTGTGACATGTGAAGGCATCTGGGAAGCTTCGCAGGAACTGCGGGTGGGAAGAATCATATATGCCCCACACATTCCACCATGCCTTCTCAGGTTCGGTACGACTGGACTCTCGGCGCCCAGCGCCCTTCCCTAGGGATCCAAGTACGTCCTCAGAAGGTACTTGGACCCTCCAAACCTACATATAAACAGTTTCCAATCACCTTCTGACAAGGTACTCAGATCCCTAGGGCTTAATATGTTTAATGGAAAGGAGTCTCCCAACACCGGCGGGCAGAGGGGGCCACGCACCAGCGGGTTGTGCGGAGTCAGGGGGTGCGTACTGTCCTCCACCTGAACTCCCTAGTGCTGGTGTTAGCGGCACGGAGCGGCGGCGAAGCGAGTCCCAGCGCACGGCGCACGGTTCGAGACAGTGAGTGCGAGAGGTTGGGAAGAAAACATGTGGTGGAGAGGGGTTGGGAGCTTTCTGTAAGTTGCATGTCACACCTGAGCGTTTTTTTCTTCTTGTTGAGGGAAGATCTTCAACATGCTGAAGAACATGCCCTTTGGCATCGGCAGTGCAAATTGCTGGGACATGAACAAGCTAGCTCGCTGAAGCAATCGTAGGGCAGGATGTGTCTCTGTTCTCTTGGGCTCAGAGTATGGTCGGTATCCATATGCACCATGTCTGAAAGCCTACCTTCTGTTTCTTGCCCCTGAATACTGCAGTTGTAATATGTACAGCGAATGTCAAACGTGATGGTGGTCTGTATCAATTCCTGTGTTTCAGGTTCTTTTCCTGCACTCTATCTGAACAACTTATGGTACTGATATAACTTGCGGTTCACACTGCCGTCCAACGTACCTCGGTAAGGCAATCAAGTCTGCCTGTTTCACAGTGCTTCAAGACGGGCGAAGCCGTGGGGTCTGTGGGTCCAATACAACGAGTGACGTCGTACGTCGGTCTCGGCTTCACCAGCTCAGCAGTGGTTGGGTCCAGTTTTTTGGGGGGAACCCAGAACCCATTTCAGCCAATCAACATCAATCAACAGTGATTCTCCTCATTGAAAGTGACAAGTCGAAAGAACTCATACAGCACGATCAAATCGGAACCTGTTCTGAACCATTTTTTGGATGTATCACAAAATGCTGGACGTAGCAAAGACATTTATAGCAAAGACATTTAATGTCTCTAAATGTCTCTGCCACTTCCAGCATCAACTTGCATGAAATTTGAAGAAATATATAGATAACAAACGAAAAAACAACAGAAATCAAATACCCTCCGGGTTACCCTCCTGAAACACATTGACATGTATATAATAATATAATTTTACATATCATGGTCTTACAACATATTAAGTGGCCACATAGCACCCACCAAACTATTTGGCAATTTGATGGGCAATTCTCAGATCACAAAATTCATCTCTGACGTTTAACACATTCCTCTCCCGGATTGAGGGAGGGTACATGCTACGTAGCGCCAGAATCGGCCACAGGAAAACCGGATTTCTTGATGTTTCGTCTTGGGCCACGGTTCTCGAGGGGCTCCCCTTTGGCTTGAAAAGAAACCCCATCCAGCACCGGAATCTGCCTAAGACGCTCGGCTGGGGAGAAGCGAACGCCCAGCGAGAAGCTCCCAATCCTGGCAAGACAGATTGAGAGGTTTGGAATTTTGAACCCCTACAGGGGTACATCTATGGCATAGGCTATGAGGTCGTATAAGCTTGCTCACCTTCTGTGGGATTTCTTGGTTCTTGGTGCATGGAGTGCATGGAACAAGCTGGAAGACGGCACCAAAATGGTCTGCGGGGAAAGAAATGGACGTAGTCCGACGGCACGCATAGATCATTTCCCAGCCACCGCTTGATTGTTTCACCCATCAGCCAACCACCGATTGATCGTCTTTCTGCCGGTGGGGATCGTGTTTCTGCAGCCAGGCATCCGCCCTAGGGCCACACGGGGGTCAATTCTTGCCACGAACTCAAACTCGAGTTGACACGACAGTCCAAAGAGAATGCAAAATAGAAGTCAATCTCTAAGCTCAATCATGATTCATGATATGGGCTACTAGTATACACTTCACTAAGAGGTTAAAGACTTATTCTTCAAACATCTCTCAAGCTGCCGCAGTTCACCAATTCGGATGAATTTCTCTACCACTCGACTCCTCTCGAACTGTTTGTCGTTTTCGGTCTGATCCGGGTGATCCGAGGAAGGAGAGTCGCCGGTGTGGTTCGAACCCCGGCGAGTGTTGGTTTCGGTTCTTGATGCATGTTCCAGATGTTTTTGATTCGCATACCAAACGCGCTTCCTGTCTGGGTGTCCTGTCAGGTATTGTCTGGTGATCGGAAGCAGCTGGTTCACTTGGCTCCGGGTCTGGGGTGGATCAATTGCACCCCAGACCCACCAAAGAACAAACACTTCCACGTCCCGCAAGGGATTTTCTGTCAAGAACATGCATCCTCCCAACCCCCCGCAGAGTCCACATGAAAGGCCCTTTTTTTTGCGGATGAAAGGTGTTTTCGAAAGATTTACGTCCCTGCCGCGGGCCACGCACTGCCTCGGTTTTCCCACGTTTCTTGTGAGCGTGGAGGGTTTGCCTGCGACTGCAGCCAGAAGTACGGTTCCACCTCGAACGAGCCTGGCTGGGCATCGGCTGTTCCAGAACCGCTCTACGTGCTCCAAGGAATCGTTGCTCTACGTGGCATGTGACTGTGTACACATGAATATAGAGACCAGGGCATAAGCTTCACACCGACCACAGGGTGCGACTCTGGGCAAACGAATAAAACACCTGGCATCATATGGCATCATGTGCTTTCTGTGAGGGCAACACCAGGTAGTACGGTTGATTAACAAGATTTTGCACAACCAGGGAATCATGGCGCCAAGCATTTCCCGCTGACTTCTCCTGTGGTTTTGACAGATCCTGGGATGATCTGGGTTGTGTTGGGCACCCAGGCATGTATTACAAAAAACTCTCTAGCCTGGAAACGGGTTTTGTTCAGCCCAAAAATCATCGCAATTCCCCGAATCGAATTGAAAAGCATTTTTGAAAATTTTGAAAGCACATTGACATTGGAAAACACACACCGACGTCGAACATATTCAATATGACTCATTTTCCCAATCCTTTAGAATCATTGGACCCTCCTATGGAGGGTTTTGACCCTCAAAACCTTCACCTTTGAGGGTCCTTGATTCTTAGGGATGATTAATTTCCACAGGCTGGCTTCGTTCGGCGCTGCCGAAGCAAAATCGACCCTGCCTTCTGGGGTGAGGCATGAGTCCAAAATGCATTGTCTGTGGGTCTGTGGGAGACCACCAAGACCACCGTGTGAAAAAAGCTCCAGAGTAGATTGCTGCTGCGCAATCCTTGTGTTCTGCAAGCCTTCTTAACTCAAGGCTACCGGTCTTGAACCGTTTAACCTGTAAAATATTTGTGCATAGGTCTGCTGTTGATCTATAGTCTATAGTCTGCTGGCGTCGTTTTGATTGCCAAGCTAATCTCTGTGTTGTCATGCCTCCCATTTTGAGCCTCGAGGGCCTCGAGTCCGCTGCAAGGTTCAAACATGCAGCTGCTGCACATGCCCTCAGGTGATGTGTTCGACACTGTAGGTGCCATTGTCGGGTCCAGTCGTACCGAACCTGAGAATGTACGACTGAATCCTGAGGGATGATACTGCCATCCATGATGATCTGTGAATCATGTCTCCGTCATTTCGATGGGAGGAGGAGCTGCTATCACTTTCGAACCCAAGAGGATCCCCTTTGAATTCACATGACCATTCTGGGCAAAATAACATACCCATTCCTGGTACACCCAGGACATTTCAATCGGGATCCAAGAGGTCATTGTTCGATGTTTCTTGTTCACCAAGCTCTGACTGCTTGCGTCATCCTGGGCCACCTTCACACCCGCCCGACTGGCGACCGGTTCATGCAGAACTGGTGAGTGAACCGGGTCGCCCGGTGTGGAAGCAAGTCATATATAGGACACAACAAGTCATATATCCCAGACACTCCATGGGACTGCCATATATGCCTACATTGACCCCCAAAACCACCCCAATGGGGCGGCATATGTGGCAGTCCCATGGAGTGTTTGGGTATAGGTTCTCATCCCACACCCGGTGCGACTCGGAGGGATAGTAGGTCAAAATCTGTGCGATGTGAGAGACCCAGCTTTCTCATCGTCGAAACCAATTCCTCACGTTGGAAGACCCGAACTCATCGCATGAAAAAGGCCGTCAAGCCGTTTTCAGCCATGGCGGACATGCAGTGTCCGACGTGTCCGACCATGCAGGACAAACTAAAAGGAGACAATGTCTTGATGCGACCTGTTTGGAAAAGGTCTTTGGAACATGGGTCTCTTTTTTTTGTCTGTGAGTGAAAACATATTTTGCCACACATCATGAAAGAGTGGAGAGAGCTCCACAGCTGCCGGCCATATGGAAACCTCCAGATACCCATTCGTGATTCTCAAGGCTCTTTAAGAACATGACTAAGTAAATCCATATGGGTGTGTATTTTAATCGGGAGATTTCACTGGCCCTGGCTGGGTAGACTGGTCTATTTACCTTCTTTCAGGGGGTCTCTGAGAATTCTCCCTATTTTAATACACACCCATATAGTGCCATATAGTAAATCATAGTAAATCCATGAACAAAACAGGGTTTGGATGTCACTCAGCTTTTCAAGGCAAACGTCTCCATAGAGAAAACGCCCAAAACACCAGCGGGGGTCACCGACGGCCCAAAGCCACGCATGCCAGGACAGGCCTTGTCTGGCTCTACCACTTTGTTCCTCGGCACAGGTTTCCACCGGTTTGTCGGAACAGTTTGCAGTTTGTCCTGATTGGGGCGATGCTTCTTGGGGGAGAGTATCATACGAAGATCTTGCACAATTAATTATGTTTACATAGTTATAATTGCGCCTATATAGTGATTTATATACTATATACCTTCATCGAACATGATTGAACGTACAAACCACACTGACTGATACTACGCTTGTTTCTACGTTCAGACTGTCTTGTGAAGCACCCAATTAAAGAGATTACGACTCTTACCAAGGCCCAAGGTGTCCTCAACCTTTTGTATGAGTCGCGATCTTTTCTTGAAGCTGACACAATTCGGAGTCGAACAAAGAACAAACAGCATGCACCATCCACTACATGTGAAAGAATGCTCATGTAGCTCTATGTTGTTCATGGAATGACTACTCCAGCAGCCACTGCATCAGTTGGTTCCATAGCGTAACAAGCCAGGTCGCCTGGCTCGGGGCTCCTGCCTCGCATCTGCTTGGTGTTTACTCACCATGGCCCTCAGTGTCAGACCACCGTTGGGGTCGCACACACACACACACACACACTCTGCGAAGTTCATCGACCATTCAGTTCGTTGGACGTCTTCTTCACAAGGGTCAACCAATACCCAAACACGACCTGTCTGGGACTGCCAGTTCGGACTGCCGATCCAGACAGACCGGGCCCCGAAGGGCCGAGGCAGTCTGGCAGTCCGGCAGTCGCAGACAGGTCGTGTCTGGGAAGATTCCACTATAGCAAACAGGGTGTTTTGTTCCGACATTCGTTGAAGCTATAGGTTCGTTGACATTCGTTGAAGCTGCTGGGAAGATTCAGGGAATCAGTCTCTAAAAACGTTGACATTCGTTTGACCATGGAGCTATAGCTTCGCTCACCGGTCGTCTGGACGCGGCGCCGTCGTGCACCGAGCCGCTCATTCCCTTCAATTCCCTTCAAGCTGATTGAACACAAATCTGTAGGAAAAACATGATACCCTAGGCATCCACATACCTTCTCAGAGGATACTGACTTGTACTCTCCAAGCCTACATACTAGTCTCCATTCACCTTCTCAGAGGGTATGTGGATAGGATTGGGGTAGGGAATGGTGGTCTGGATGATATGCCATCTTGGGCCACCCTCTTCACGCTTTGCAGTCCAACCACGGTCGCTTCTCCCGGTCGCTCAGCTCTCTGCGCGAGCGAAGGTGGTTCCTCGTTTCGGTCTCCACGGGCCGAAACCGTGACGATGCACTCCGCTGACCGTATCTGAAATCATCCATTGGTATATACTTATATAAGTATAGAAGAACAACAAACCAATACTGTTGTATACTTAAAGTGTTTTTTTATAACAACAGTTTGTAGAGGAAGAACGAAAACCGTGGGGGGCCATCCACATCCAACATCGTGGATGGCCAAACCCGCGGGGCGATCGACTCGATCGACTCGATTGGCCAAAGACGACCACTCGAATCGAGTGGTCTTCTCCTCTACAAACAGGGTGTTTTGTTCCACTTCCCTGATTTTTTCGAAGAACGACACGTGGAGGTTCCTGAGGTTTGAGCGTTCGGAATTGAGCCGTGGGAGCCCTTGGATTGATGAACACATCAAATGCGTCTTTTCGGGAATGAGGAATGAGGAATATATAGTTATCAGTGATTATATGTGATTATCATTGATTATCATACTTGTCCATATGTTGATGAGAATTGGCCAAACAAAAGCAGGTTCCAAAGCGAAGGTGTGCGAGTTGACCATCCGGCATGCCAATCCTTTGACTCTTGCCGATACAGTTGATTCTGCTGTCTTCCCACTTGACACTCGTCTGCACGGTACCTTCTAGTCTTCCCCAAAATACGATCGTCCTCATCAGCTTGTGAATGCACTGTATAGCCTTTCAAACGTCCCCAGCAAGACACTATGTGTTTTAGTCATGTTTAGTCTATGTTGGGCGAAGTCCTGTGGTGACCTGCTTCTTCTAGGCAACCGACTAGGGTAGGACATCTCTGGACCTGAGCAGTCATCTCAATGGATTCTAAAACATCCCAACTGCTCACCTCTTCCACCCACCCTCCCACTCTTGCCCTGGCCTGACCCATGGCGCGGTAGAAGTCCCGGCGGAGCACCAAGAGGGCCTGCGCCGTGTCTGTTTTAGGCGGGGAGACCCGCAGTGGCTGTTCGACGGAGTCGCGCAAAGGACGGAGAGACCGAGATGGTGGTTTGCAGTTTGCAGTGCCAGTTCTGGGGGTGTCCTTGTATACCATGGTATACCTTCTGATCTAGTTCGAGCCTGAAGGTATGGAGAATGATGGAGAATGCGTAGATCCATGTAGATCTTACCTTCAAAGGAAGGAAGGTAGGGAATTTTCTGGCACCTCTCACGAAGACCAACGCGAAATGCAGGGGGAAAGCTGGCAAAGTTGTCACCTCGTGGGGCTGTGATCATATGTCATCCTGTTGCTTCACAGTTTTGCATGTCTTGCTGGCTGCTGAACCCCCTAACCTTTGGCTTAGGGCGTGTTTTGCTGTGTCCGGCGCTTCCCTTGGCGTCCGACGCTTCCCTCAGGTGGCATTGGGGTCCAAGGTCGGCAAGGATGACGCAGGTTTTTGGTGCACAGCTACTGGAGCGGTGTATGTGTACCTCCTGGTGAGCATGGCCATGTCTGTGTAAACAAATTCACCTTTTGGGGGGCACTGGCGGAAACATGCGGCAGCTATCTTTGCCACCACGAGACCAGTGGGGTAACAAGTGTTCCTCCGTTTTCGATATGAGCTGCCAAAACCTGCTAGAAGATCCGTCTACATCCCTGCGAACAAAAGCCACCTCCCAAAAAAGGCATCAAGACCTCAACAACAAGGGAGGCTTGTTCAGCTGATGTCAAATTGTCACATGTTTCTCTTGTCAAACAGTTCTTCATGGGCGTCCTAACCCAAGGATCAGGTCTAAGCTCAGCAAATTCATCCTTTTTCACAAACTGCGCAGGACAATGGACCATCTCAAATGGTCATGAGTCATGTTGGAAGGGCAATGCCAAGGAATTCATGGCTCTGCCAAGGAGTTTGCCACCGAACACTTCTCATGTCGCCAGATTTGGCTCAGCCTTGGCAATACCCAGCTACTGTCATTGTCAAAGATCACCACAATCCGATCAGGACTTCCTCAGCCGATTGCAATAGGAATGGCCCTTTTGAGAACTTGCTGTTGAAAAACCCATCGCCATCGGATGTGATCGTTGGAAAGCATCAACTCTCAAGGTCAAGGTGCTATCAGCGTACATGAGAAACAAGACTCTTGACCAGTCTGTGCTTTCCCGGAGCCCCTGGCCTCAGGTTCTAGAGCTTGAACACCGGCCTATACACACACTTCGCCAATTTACGAAGCACCTTCACTTCAGCGTGTTCCCCCCACAGTTTCATTTCCAAGATGCCCGGCGGTCACTATTTTTTTTTTTTACAACGTCGCAGCAGTCATTCAGGCTGGAGAAGAGCTATGGCCTTCAAAGCAACATCAACAAAGGCCGGCCAAATCTCCGTCTATGACTTTTGCGTGGAGGTGGTCTCATCCCCAGGAAAAACATACACATGCGCCACATTGGACAGACCATGGCACGACAATAGGGGTCATGGATGTGCAAACAGTGGTGATGGATATTGTTCTATAAAGAGCAGGATGGTGCGAACAAGGTCAGGTCATGAAAGGTCTCGCCAGCTAACCCCACATGCACAGAATGATCTCTTGTGTCTCTTACCCAGACCATCCATGGGACAGGCATACCTATTAGATTGACCCCAGGTCAACCACCCAAAATGAAAAAAAGGGCCAATCTGTGCGAACCTGCCATTCCCAAACAGGTTGCCAAACATGTGTTGACTCCGAAATCCTTTCTTAGGCGACTCGTCGGAACACACCAAAACGATCCGTCCCTGGCGGACACCAGGGCTCCAACCACCTTCGGATAGAGTTGGAGCCCGGTGCGTTTGGTCAAACCGCTCGGTGGCCCGGTGAAGATCCCTCATGAAGAGGCTGAGGGTTCATGGGAGGAACTCTTGATGGTGAAATTAATCCATCTTCATAGGAACTCAGGAGGTTTCATCAAGAGTTGATGCATAAATTTCACCTCCATCCTATGCCATCCTATGCCCTATATTGTAATGCCCTATAGGCATTCCACAGGACCCTCCGAAAACGGCGCCCAGACGAAGCATCGAACACGTCACCGAGTCGAACATGTAGATCCATAGAACGAAGAGTTTGAATGGGCAAACGATGTCCACCCTAACTACCCTAAGGATCCACACCCTCAAAAACAAGGGTTTTGAGGGTACAAACCCTTGTGAACTAAAGGGTTCGACCCCTTCTAAGGAGGGTCCAAGGATCCTTAGGGTAATAGCAATATGCTCCCCTCTACGGCCAAACTTTGTCAGGGCGCTTGCCTCTCAAAGGACTGGGTCAGTCGACGGTTCATCCCTGTCCAAGCGAAAAACAGAAATCACTTGTAATTCCAATCGTCTGGCCCTTCTAACCAAGCCTTCTTGGTCTCATCCAGTCTTTCCTTCAGCTCAAATAGCTGCTTCTCCTGGGATTGGGCACCCTGCCCAAGAAGGACTACAGGGGATGGTGGCCTATGGATATCCTATGGATCCACCGCTACCTTCTGAGAAGTTGGGGGGTGAAGTTGAAACTCCTACAATTTCAGGACATGTCTGGATACGCTCGGGCATGCTTTGATGAGGAACCCGCTCGAGAACAAACTCCTGTCAGCTTGTCAGAAATGGTGCGATTACTTGTTCACATCCCCTAAAGCCATTAATCATCACTAGGTCACTAGATATCGATCACTATATTTGTGTCATTCTATATAGTTGCTTTACAGCGCTATCAAACTCCACACAATGTGAGTCTTTCACACTGACTCAAACTGTTTGCTCTGGGACAGCGACCGCGTAGACCCCCACGACAGCGAACGACGACAAGAACGACCGGTCTTATGCGATAACGTCGTCCTGCAGTTCCTGCTCTTCTTGCAACCGGTGTTGAAGCTCCTGAAGGGTCGGGATTGATATACACTCACTCAAGTCAAGAAGTTATAAGTCTGTGGTCGTTATATGTTCATCCCGCTGCTGGTGATGTAAGAAAACTGGTCAAACCTAGTCAAGCGAAAACAGACATACCTGCAACACACCTGCAAAGAAATACCTTCACATCCACCGAGGTATTCCAACAACCTCGTTCCAACAACCGCCGGTCCGACCAGTTGGACTCCGTCTCGACCCGAAGAACCGGTGCCCAAAAAAGGTCCGGTCACGACGGCGGGTCTGTGGCTGTGGCTCCAACAGCTCACACTTCAAGAAATGGTATTTGGTTTCAGGGCGGATCTGCGCCGAACGCGAGCCAATCTGACATTTCTTATATTATATGGCTCTATTCGCTCTATTGCAGGTATTCACACATCTCAACAGAAAGGTACCGGGCGCTGTTAGCCATCGGCTGGTTTTGGGTCATCTTGAGTAAAAACATGGGGTTCATTTGCTTCAAACATCGGGTTGAACTGGCATGTTTAAACGCATTCTTTGTGTTTCATTGCGATTCACCAGCATTGCGATGAAAACCAGTGTATAATTGGGCGGGTCTGCTTTTGGACAAGTCAGTGTTTGTTTCTCAGCATGGGGGCGTTAACTCGTGGATTTTCTTGTATCTGTGGTTCTTGTAAATTGAAGAGAGCAGTTGTGAACGTATTTTGCTTGACACATGCAAAGTGAAATCCCTCGAACATGTTGAGGCAGGCGTTTAATTGAAACCACAGGTCTGGGCACCAGGTTGTGCCCACCGCTCCGTCTTCTCATAGTCCTGGCTTCTGTTTGAAACCTTACTTGGCTCCCTTACTTTACCAAACCATCCACTTCTATTTGAATTCTTCTAGTTTCTGCGGATCCGAATGTCACGCCGCAAGTCAACCTGGCCAACGCGTACAGTGTGCACGTGTCACGAACGTCAGCATTCCCACCTCCACAAGACATCCAAACACAAAAAAATATAGTTTGCTCAAACAAGACCCCCAAACAAGCCAAGACCCTTTCCTTGGGTTATTGACACACTCATGTGTTCGGTGCATAGGTTGGAATCCATGGGTCCTGGCAAAAAAAATAATCGTCCAAGTCAAAACACATCTTAACAACCCATCCCTAAAGAGTCCGCCCACAGGATCATATGCTTGTTCATTCTTGTTCTTATGCTTGACTTGATCATATGAGTTGAAAAAAAACGTTCTAAAATCATTATCCTAGGTTGAAATCACAGCAATTCCAAGCGGTGGCCATCATGTACCCAACATGCGCTCATGTATATGGTTGTATGTTGTGTATGCCCTTTTAACAGCTGCGTTCTTACTTACAGAGTCCAATGGTTCCAAATGTGAAGCTGAAAGTAGCCATCCTCTTGCACACAGAAACAAATTGCCAAGACTATACACCCTGGAAAGCACTTGGACAAGTGGTCAAAGTTGCAAAGGGATCTAGCGCGGGTCTAGCGCGGATCTAGCGCGCTTCCCTGCCAGTGCATGAGGCCACCAAACGTCTGTGATCAAGAACTCGCTTTCTCGTCTCTCAAGCAGTTACTCCCTTTCAAACAGTTGCTGCCTTTTTCAGCGCGCGCTGCCTTTCAAACAGTTGCTGCTCTTGTGCCTGTGCGGGTGTGTGTGTGTCACCCCCTGTACCAAAGGGTTCAATGCCACGGTTTCCACCACAACCACCCCACAAGGCAGGGGGGCAAGGCCTCCAGCGACGAACCTTGTCCAACGAAGCTAAATCGCTGGAGGGGAAGCACTGAGAGACGTCTCGGTGTGTACCTGCTGAGTTCTCCACAAGCTGTGACCCTACTTCTCCACTGTTTGTTTCATGGTTCTTCATGCTACCACCCCCAAACCTCTCCTTGCAGCTGTGCCGCGCCGACGTTTGACACCGCCGATCTTGTGAGCTGCAGATGTGCACCAACCTTTGTTAAACAATACCTTTTCACGGACTCTGCCACCTTGCCGTTCCATCGCCACTTTACCTGGGAATTGAGTGTAACTGAAAACCAATGTCAGAGTGTGTATGTGCACCAATGAGTGACCGTTACAATCAGCTCTTGTTTGTTAACCTTTTCTAAGTTACCTAAGTACTTGATCCTAGCGCCAAACCTAGCGCGAACCTAGCGCAACCCTGCGTTTTGCTAGCGCGACGAGGTAACATACCCAGTTTAAACACCAGAATACCAAGCGGTGGCCAAGCGATTTCTGAACCTCTGGGAACATTCCTTACTTAATACATATTCCCGTTTTTTTTTTTTTTTTTCGACTCATATAAGTTCATGATTCTGTTTAATCCACTCACAGCCTCCATCCGTCCTCCTCACGCTGTGCCTTGCAGCGCTCTTCGGACGCGCGGAGCGATGCCGTGGTCTCGGCCAGGGACTGCGCTCGCCTCTTGTTCGCCTCTGACGCTCATCCGTCGACGCTGACGGTCGGCCTTTTACGGTGTTGGCCCTTTGGAGCGGAAGACGGGGGCCCGGTTGTTTCGGCCTTCAACGGAATGACCGGAGTGTGGTTCCAGGTGCTGGAGTTTCTCTTTCCTCTGGGCGTTTTGGGTGATGGGAATGTTCATGGATGTTCGATGTTTTGTGGTTCCAAAACGCTTTGAGCTGCTGCGGCTTGGCGAGATCCAGTTTCCGGCGGGTTCGTTCGGATTACCCCACCATTTCCAGTTCGACCGCGTGTCACGGCGAAGAGCACCACTGGCCTCCACCTTTCCACTCATCTCCATCCTCTTCCGCCGAAGAGCACGCTGTTGCTCCTCAACGACTGAGAATGACGGTGATCGAAGAGAGCGTCAGCGTCCAGGTGAAAGAGTACAGTACCTTGGGTACTACCTTGGGTATGTATCCCACTACAAGTAGCAGTGGATGATGGTTAGCTTGCAGGCCTTTCTCTTTAAATAGTGATGTTCTTGCTTACCGACTGGTGCAGCCACGGGTACTAGGACAAACACAACGAATACCTCGTTTTCAGGCTTGATGTACGTAACTTGATGTTGATAGGTCGATTTGAAGCATCGACCTCGCACACCAACCAATCAACATCCGTCAACCAAAACCAGCAAGCCGTTTGCCAAGAAAAAAAACCATGATACATAAATCGATAACATTGGGGATCGCATGCATGTTCCTTTTCAACCAATCAAAAAGAAAGCGAATCCAAACATAGACCATCATAGACCTCTATGTTTGAGCAGAAACAAATACATCTCTGTCCAAGTTCAATCACCAAAAACCTTGTTGCCGCGATGTTCTTAACTCAGCACCGAACGGCAGCGACGCTCCAAAACGCTGCCATCCCTGACCCATGAACGGATTCTGGGAGACTGGCGCAAACCACAACTAGACACCACGTGGACTACCTGGCAAACGCACGAACTTCGTGGGGCGCAAGAACTTGCGTTCAGCGCCTGGCAACACACTGGACGAATGTGAATTTGTATCTCAAAGCACCCAACAATTCTTCACGTCTTCCTCACTGGTCCCAGTGGTGGTCTCACACGTTGTTTGCCAGGCCTGGGGTGATGTTTTGGGGCGGAGCTTGGTCTCTGTTGCCTTCACCCGAGACCTTCGCTGCCTCTTCAGTCCCGTCTTTTCGACAAGTCTCTTCAGTCCAGAGGAACCTGGACTGCAATGACTGTCTTTGCAGGAAGTATTGACCTGCCAAATCGCCTAGGGCGAGGAATTGATCGCTCCGGATCGATCGCTGCGGCTCGACAGCTTGGACTAGACTGGAAAACGCGTACAGAATCGGACGAATGAAGCGGAATGAAGTCGGACAGCTTGGTCTAAACTGCAAGTTGTCCGACTAGAAGGAGACAAGTTTAGATTCGTTTAACAGCTTGGAGTTGTATCTCTAACAGCTTGGTTTGTTGGAGATGCGCGGCCTTTGATCTACTGGATGATTCCAGAAGGATGACTATACTCGTTTCTCAAGTGCCCTGAGGTTTCAGTGGACACATTCTTGTCATTGTGGTTTGGAACGCCCAAAAACGATCCCATGGCGCACTGCATGGTTGTATGATATTTCAAACCAAGCCAACAAATGGACCCAGAAATGACCTCTTTGCGCAAACTTACCCTTAGGCTTCCAACCACCATTAATTTAATAGGCTTATCGAACTATCTTTGTTTTACTAAGGATTTTACAGTACTCACAAGCTTCGGAGAGATGCGGCTGTTCCATCAGCCTTGTCAGCCGAGGCTCCAAAAGGGAGGCAGCAAGGCTCAATGGATATGTTGCCCAGATCAGGTTCCAGTCGAAAGCCGTCCATGGAGACTGGTCGCTGGTTTTCAGCGTCCCCCGCCCAGTCACTCGCACAAACGGCGATCGCAGGATTTCCATAGATTAGAAAGGTCAGCGGAATGGCCATGAAGACGTCAAGGCTGTAGTGCAGCTTGCTTCCTGAGAAAGAACCACCCGGATCGTGCTGCTTGCGAGATTTGCGAGAATGGACGGATCAGCAGTGATGAAAGTGCCAGTGTATGAAGCATCTGTCCAAATCCATTGTCAAATACTCCACCCGTCTTGCGGGTACTGGGGTCTCAGTTTGTGTTCATGTGGCGCACAGACAACAAGAATCATGGCTATATGGCCATCTTAGAGTCAGAGAATTCAACAATTTCCAGACACTCCATGTATGCCATATATGCCTACATTGGGGTGGTTTTGGGGTTCAATGGGGGCGGCATATATGGCAGTCCCATGGAGTGTCTGGGATTGATCAACAGTTCCTAAAGGCGTCCAACCTTCACCGGACCGAAGCCTTCGTTCCCTCCCAGAACACAAGTCCATCGCCTGTCCTGCGCTGCGTCCTTCGCTCCTCTGCCCGTCCGCGCGCGAACCTTTCTCCCTCTCCACCGACCCTTTTTAACCGCGCGTCCGACGGCCAACGTTACGTCGGCCATCAGAATGGCCCACAGAATGAACCCGGTGAGCGCCAGGATCGCCGCACGCCGTTCGCGTCTTAACTCGGATGCGACGCTTTGGGCCACGGCATCCTGAGCGGCGTCTGAAGAGATACACCAGAGAGTTCTGGTGTGACCTCCCTTTTACGACACTGACCTGTAACCACCTTTTTCCGTGCTGGTTGGTTGGTATATTTGTGAGGTTTATTCTGTCTTTTGGGCATGGAGATTCCTTCAGAACATGTTGTCTGACTGGGACCTTCCCCCCAAACCTGTCTACTATTTTCGCTCCTAAAGTGAAACGTCTTTGGATAAGATCCCAAAAACAGATTGGGTGGGTGCTTGGGAAATCAACGAATTACTACCAACTTTACCATGAATTTCTCCTCGACCAACCCATTAAGGTTTCCCAACGGAAAAGACCCGGAAATCCAGAAACATCCGAGAAGAACGCTGCTGTGTTTTGGAACATGGTGAAATCCAAGGGGAAGTGGAACGAAGTGGATCACTGTCGTATTGGGTTTCGTCCTGAAAACAATGACCAGCAAGACGGCAACCCCTAAAAAAGATCTGGGATCATCTGCAAGAAACATATTCGACTTGGACAAGAAACAAACTGCTGAAGATGGATTGGGGTTCGATAAGCATGGGGATGCATGGGCATGGCATGGGTGCTTTCTTGATGGCATGGTGGTTGGTTTCTTCCTGAGACTACCCAGTTGCAGAGGGATGATTGGAGAGTCATCCTGAGACTCATCCCGTTCACTGAGCTTCAGGGACCGGAGGTTCTCCCCACTGAGCTGAGCTGGCTGGTGCGCCCATAAGAAATGGAGGAATGAAAGCAAGAGGAATGAAAGCGGATGTGAAGTACGATGGTGAAACTGATGGTGAACATACTGTAATATATTAATATATATAGTGTCATGAGTGAGTGAGGGAGTGAGTTGAGTTGGTGCGAACTGGCAAACAAGTTGAGGACAGCCGCAAAGCGCGGCGGCCGAAGGGAAAGCATCATCAGAAGTTCCAGCAAAACGAAGGGAAACACTCAGGTTAGGTTAAGTGAACGTGATGAGCGCACGGGGTGTTAGTTGAGTTAGAGTTGAGTTGGTGTGATGTGTGAGATGAGTCAGTAGGCGGAAGGAGGCGGAAGCAAATGAGAAATATATAATTATAGGGAAACATCACACCACCTGCACTGCACATTCAAAAGTAGGATCCTCAAAAAGGAAGAAATACACATGCAAAAGCACTTGATCAACCGTCCCGAGCATCATAGGCACCCAGGCACACCAGTACAGTTGTGCTGGTGGAGCAGCAAAAGACTGTATCAGCACACAATTGCTGTGGCGCTGCACGTCCCAGCAACCAAAGGCTTTGCACAGTGAGGAGAAAGATGTCCTCAGATTAGCTCGGGCACAAACACCGAAAGTACCCTAGGGCTCCAACCATATCCTCAGAAGGTGGTTAGACCCCCCAAACCTACCCCAACCACCTTCTTAGGAGGTGGTTGGAGCCCTAGGGGTAAAAGCCTTGAGAGGTCTCTTTCAATGATGGACGCAGGACGCTATCCGAGCTTCGCAAGAAAACACATGGCGAGTCAGTACATTTGAAACAGTGAGATCAGTGCGGCTCACGTCCTCCGTTTGAACTTGGGAACCGACTTGACACCAGAACCCCTAGACGAGCTAAACACTCCAAGCCCCCTCAAAACCTAGGGATTGTTGGCTCTTCCGGGAAAAAGACACCAGCAGGTCTCCAATTCATGTTGCAAAAAAAAACACCTTGGAGATGCTTTCGCATCTCTTCAGGATGTTTCCTCCACATCGTAGGGATTGCTTTCGCCCGCCCTCGTTACCGCGTGGTCGCGGAGCGGCGGAAGAAGAGACACAGACCAGTTGGACCTTCGCTTCAAGGCCTCCCTCTTGAAAAAAAGGGTCACACACACACACACTACACCCAAACTAATGGTTCACACTTAATTAATGGTTCCCGCAAAAAAAAACGAGAAAAAGCCTTGGGACTTCGCGTCCCAGAAAAGAGCAAGGAATTGGCTTTGGAGACCTTCGGCTGTACCTTTGGCTGGCTTTGTCTTAAGCGCAGCATAGCGGGTTGACATAGAATGAGAGACAAGAAACCGAAGCGAACTTCGGTCTGGCCCAGGGGGCTTTTCTTCTGTCGCCGCTTCAAGTGGAAGCGTTGGGGGGTGAGAGCCCGATTTCTCGTTCCTTGCTCCAGTAGAGCATCACCCTTTGAATTGCTCCAGTAGATGAAAGAAACAGTGAGTTCAGCTCTCTAGAAAGTGTTGGCCCTAGTCTATCACCCTAAGAATTCGGACCCGAAGCAATGTAATATGGGGTTAGGATCCGCACCCCTGCAAACCTGGAGAATTCGACCCCTGCAAAGGGGTCGGGTCCAAGGATTCTCCGGGCAGGTTTCTTGCTATAAGATTCTATAAGTCTTGCATTAAAACACAAGGAACGTCTACTGAAAAACAAAGAATCGATTCAATTCCAGTGGTTTCAAAGTTGATGGCACCATCCCCAAGTTCGGTTGTTCATATGGACCCATCTATCTAAAACATCTTAGAGGTGCCAGTGCCATCTATTATGAAACCACTGTAGACACATGTTTCATCTCGAGACCCACATGACCTGGAGCCGTCAAAACGGTTGGCCTGAGCTATCCCGCTTTCCGGGCCGGTGGTCGTTTCTGGGATTCTTCGTCCAAACCGGCCACACCTCTGGATTGATCAAAAAGGTCGGAACTATTTGGAAGCCAACAGTGGACGAATCACTTGAGCATGTCCAGCTCTCGGATCCAAGGACCACCTCATGTACAGAGCGTCCAAGTTGGTTTGGATTGATGAGTCGTGTCCCCGAAATAAAGGCTAACCGTTGACCTTTTCCACCTATGACATATTTAAACACCATCCCTAACATAGAAAACAACCCCTAAAAAAAGAAAACACACCCTATTACTATTACACATTTGTTTTTTGCAAAGCAACAGTTCTCCACTGACTGGGTAGAACCAATGAGTTGAGCGTCGACTCATTTTCCGTCAAAACCGGACCCTGGCACTTTGGATGCCTCACTGAACCATGAAAGGATACCAAACCATGACTATAGTCACTACAATCTTGTACCAACATGTGTATATAAACATGTAAAAATAGTAGTTAGTTAATATATAATATACAGCATTATAATGCATTAATGGATATTAATAGCGCTATAACAACAACATTGAATGAACCGATCGCGTTTTATAGCAACCCTACGCCGTCCGACACACTCACCATCGGTCAGTCACCAGGTCCGTCCCTCTGCCAGGAGGCCAAAATCGAATTCACGGATCCCAGGGCTCCACCTGCAAAGCGAAGCGACGCGAATGCTTCTCCAGGGCCCTTATGGAGTGGTGGGGGAAGGATGTGTTTGATGGCTTTTGGGCTCTGGGTGAGTGAATTTGGGGGTTCTGGGTTCGGGAAGTCACTGGAACATGGGAACACATGACACAAAAACCCATCCAAAACCCATTTTAGTTGGGGGACTCCCTAGTTAATACAGAATCATAGTGGTCCCTCTACACTTGTGCTGATGGATCTTTTTGAGGAGACACTTAAAACATCTCAATACAATCTACATTCAGCAGATTACCATGAAATCCCATGAACAATGCTTGTATACGTCCAGGACTACAATAGTTCCAGTCCCAGAACATGGCCAGGATATGCCTGGCTCATGTCCCACCAGATCCCGCTGTTCTGCCATCTGGGGTGCCCAACTGTTCTGCTCACGGAAGTACATCAAGCCATGAGGCCCTAAGCGTCTCTGACATCCTGGGACGCCGCGGACGTATCCATGGAGACCGAGAATAGATACTCATGAAATTCTATAGGGGTTGCAAGGGTTTAGGGGAACTCCCTGTTGCTCCTGCACTTCTCCTGTTTAATACGGAAAACTCGGGCTCCTCAAGCCCTCCTGAGCAACAGTGAGCCTCATATCGCGAGTGTGATTCCGGATGGGCATGCCACCTCATGCAACCTGGATGACTGAAATGCTTCAGCAAGACTCAGCCCAGTTTTGCGCATGGTTCCGTGAGCGCGAGTGGTCGGGAATACCAACGGTCCGAAGGTCAAAGAATCTCTGCGACCCAAACACACGCGAAGGACTCCTAAAAGCAGTTCCGGAGGGGCACTGCGAAGACCGAGCAGTAGCATGTTCATCGCAGCTGGGCAAACTCAAAAGCACCTGAAACACATGCTCAGCACCCTCCTACACACCGAGAACTCCAAAGCACACTGCTTTGGACGACTGCATTCTCCTGCACAGTATTCTCCTGCCAGCATATGTGCCCTTCTGAGAAGGTCTCTGAATCCCTTAGGGCCCAAATCAGGGGGGTGCAGCATGACATCGTTCCCTTCACATCCATCATCTCAGGTCCCTCGTCCGGGTCTTCGTCTTAGGCTCCCATCCATCCGGTCGCATCCGGCAGCACCGTGCACCACGCCAGCAAGCCCTTCAACATCGCCAAGACCGTGGCGACCAGCGCCAGGTGGGTCCAGCTTCCTTGGTCCCGAAGATCACGCCGCCCGCCGCGACCGGGACTGGGCACGAGCGAGAAAGAACCGAGAAAGGACCAGAGTGCTGAAGGAGAAAAGACATTGCACGACACCTGAGATGGATCAGATGTAATCCTCGACCTAACACGGAAATGCATGGATGACGAGACACTTTGTGTGGTCTGAGGCCCAGAGTCTTCAACCCGAACCAACATTGCTTTACGGATTTTACAAGTCAACGCAAGCGTCTTGAAACGATCTCTCAGTTGATCACGGAGTGCCGGTCGCAGTTCGGTCTCATTCTCTACAAGTCACGCAGGTCATTGATGCGCACCAGCCAAATCAGCAGTGAGATGACCACCTCGCGGGTGATTGGACGGCTTTCGGGCCAATGAGGTCCAGTTGATACACCAAGTGCGGGACTGCAGTCGATTTTCCAGTACAGAACGGTACCCTTTGACGAAAACACGGTTTTGGTCCAAAAGGGGTCTTTTGAATCATTCCACAAAAGTAGCACTACTAAATGGACATCCTCCATCTTCTTCATTTTTGGTGCCTCACACGGGATATGCTTCTGCTTGTTTGGGGAACTAACTCCTGTCTCGATTGGAACGGCATAGCATAGATTAAAACAGGCCTCAACATTCCAAAAAGTGCCACATCATTCCCCGTCCATCCCTCTTCTTTTTTCTCCGAACTATCTGCATTGGACTGACTTATCTGCATTGGGGTGGTTTACCCATGCAGGTGACCAGGTGTGAGTGCTTTTCTTCACTCTTCAGGAGACTGGTCTGGGACGTGATTCAATTGGACCAATATACCCATACCAGCACGTTCGGCGGCACCATGGAGGACGATTCCATGCCCCAAACCAGCCATGTATGGAGTATACATTGGTTTCTAAGAGTCTATTCTATTACCAGTTAGATGATGATGATGATGATGATGATGATGATGATGATGATGATGATTAGTAAAGCAATACATGTCTACTGACTGTTACAGGTAATAGGACAACCCCCAGGAGTATATATGCCTCATTGAACCCCCCTGGCACCACCCCAATGTGGGTAACATATGACAGTCCCATGGAGTGTCTAGGATGGACACCTCCTGGATGATTCAAAGGGGCTTGACCATCGTTTCAAACAGAGATGACTTTGTTCAGGTCCATCGAGGACCACACGCAACAGTGTGGCTCGATCAATAGGTATGCCAAAAGATGCCACAAGGAACTCTTGTTGATGAAACTCCAGGTCTCGAGGGCTCAAATTATGGAACACATCATTCCTTGGTGACTCTTGAGTCCTTATGTTTTTTCCCAACGTCTTGGACTTAAACCATCTTAAACCCACTGTCAAAGGATCCAGCCCTCCAACACCGGTTTTGGCCAACCGAGACCCGCGACTGGTGGGAACGACCGGTGGCCCCAAGCGGCACAGTCTGTGAGCAGGTCGACCCAAACTTCAGGCGCCCAGCTCAAACCTGCGTGAGAGCAGCTGGATGCCGTGTGAGCAGCTGGATGTGGTTTCGCTCAGTGTGAGCGGCGTTTCAAGTGGTTGTTTGTTTGCTTGTTTGCTTGTTTTTTGTTGTTTTCTCTTTTTTGAGCCGGATGTCCTGAAGATTTGAGGCCATGGGCGCCGTTTTCAAGAGCTAAGAACTTGATTCAGGTCTACGTACTTTGTCCGACCCCAGATGAATTGAGGAGTCCCCCGCAACATCCCGCAACCCAAAAGGCTCACTGGACCCTCACAATGGGCATAGCCCAATGTTTTCCCTCCAAAAAGAAGCTTCTCCAAGAATCCCCCCTCTCGGGCGACATACCGCCTGAAGTAGATGAGATGAGCTTCGAAATCTCGCTTACCCAACCATGTCTGGGTGGCAAGAGCATGTTCAGGTCTAGAAGCCAGGGGTTGCTTTGGTCCAGACAATTTTCTGCAGTATGCACGCATGAAGTAAACCTTGATAAATTAGATATGCCTCAAGCCAAAGAACATGACCGGAACGCAACCCCTCTTGAAGACACCATTTATGTATCACTCACACCCACATCCAATCTACGAGGACCATCCTCTCTGGACTACTGGACTACACTGATCAACCATGCATCCGGGAAAATCCGAGGAGAACCAACTGAGCTCTGCAACATACGTACTCGCATCACTTTCTCATGCTCCTGCTTACGCTTGCCATCGCTTGTGAGCTTACGCCACCACGCTTACGCTCCAAGAGCTTACGCAGATCTTACACGTCTCCGTTGACTACGCATGAGAACCATATCCCCATGCGAACGCGCGACGGTCATATTTGCACATGTGCGGGCAACATAGGAACCTACGCAAAGCTTACGCAGCATGCATGTCTCACATCTACCTTACGCAACCCTACGCTTTTCAGGTGTTTGGTTACGCCCAAGTTCCGCACGACAAGGGCACTATATATTATAATATAGTTCATCTTAGTTCATTTTGGGAGGTTTCTTGTGGTGCTCAACTCCTGACAGTCGACCAAAGCACCGAATGCTCAGTCGTGCCTTCCAGAGATTCAGCCAGTTTGGACCTCTTCAGAAGTCTGTGCAAAGGATCATCCAAAGCTACTGAAGATGGCTCTCCTCAGAGAAGCGTGGTTCCCCTATTTGGGTGTGTATTCAAATAGATCTTCCAGCGACCCGATTATATGAGTTTCCCCTATTTAAATACACACCCAAATTCACTCACTCAGGACCAGTCTTTTCCACCAATACAGGAGCGATCATGAGTGACCTGAGCAAACTTGTGGCCAAATTGAAGTTTTTCTTTGCAAGCTCTTACTTTCATACTGGTCTATGGGTTTTGTTACTTCAGAATACTTCAGGTATGTGCCATCTAATTAACTTGAATTCTGCCAGAAAATCCAAGATTGCATTGTGAGGGGAATGTCACATGGGTAAGATCACGGATCAAAACTCCGCCAAGGGCACTGATGGTCGTAGCCACATCACCTTCTGCAGCATCAGCCCATTGCAAGTAGACACAGGTGGCCGAATAAAGGCCTCATACCCAGACACAACTCATGGGACCAGGAGAATTGACCTATACATTCACAGGTTTGTTCATCTTCCAATCTCCCCACCCAGTAACTCGACCGACCTAACCCGTCCCGTCGTTGCGGGGAGTGGAGGAATTCTGAATTCACCTTTTCCAATAAAATGGGTCAAATCGACCCCCCGGAGGGTTCGGTTATAGAAAACAAACCATCCCCTAATGGATGGATTATATACTTTTAGCGCTTAGAACTATACTTAGATTCTAGGTCCCATGGATTTCAGGCTTGGCTCCAGGCGGATTTGGCTAGCCATGAAGGTTCGTGAACCTCAGAAAAGACCATGTCTCCTCACTGGCCCTTTGCAACATTCCACATGACGTGCCCTTGGCTCGACGTGCCTACAACGACGTGCCCCGCTTCAAGTGCTGTCAGATGCTGCCTGCGTTTTGGCAAAAGAGCGCCGAGAGCAACAACCCGACAGGCGCCAGCCACTTCTGCAAGCCGGCTGGCTTCATGTGTTCGCGATCGGCCAACAACGAATATTGATTGCCATGGCCAAGGCCCAGCATGAATGATCCAATCAGGTGACTTGTTTTTTTCTCTTGATGCATACAAATGTAGTGTACATGATGTACACCATGCTGCTCCTGGATGATGTTCAGATCACAAGTTCATGCCCTTTGTAAGATCCCTAGAAGTTAGATTGTCTTGGAGACCGGAAATTGACCACTGCTCAGATATCTTTTCTTTGGAGACAAAACATAAAATATCGTTTATATGACTGGCAAACGGTCCTCATCATCTGGGATTTATCTCTATCGTTCTCGGACACACCTCACAGGAACGGTACCAGTACCTTGGACGTCAAGTGACGCACGTTGCCAGTGCTTCCGCGACTGGTTTGCCAGCGACGGCTGGGCCAAACACGCGACGGCTTTGATTCTTCACCAGTGGCACGCCAGTGCTTGGCCAAATGGGGCCTAGGGTGGCCAAACCAGGCTGCCCGTGCCGATGTTGTATTTCTGTCTCGGCACTTGAACTGTGGGAGGGACTTCCCAACTTGACGGCTTTGCAAGTGCCATGTTTCGATATGTTTGATTATCTACGCATGTCTGTCGTAGGAACCGACGCAAAGCACATCACTAGAGGCAACCGTGCAAAAATAAACAGCGTTTGGGACAATAAGAGATTTGCCAAGAAAGGCATACCGCTCTGCCGCTCTGAGAACCCCAACCAAAGGCAATCCAAATGGACCATCCCCCCACAGGACCATTCCGGACCTTCGACCATTGTCCCAGGAGTTGGGGTTTCAATCCACAGGGGGATAATGCATTTTTGGAGTCAAGGACGTCCCAAAACATCCTTCCACACGCTTCCGAACATCAATCTGCGCTTCCGGGGTCTTGATGTTCGTCCGTTGAGTCCATCCCAAACGTCTCCTGTTGAAAGAACATGTTTGGCGTATAAATATATATATGTAATAAATATATTATATATATATATATATTCTTAATGTTATATATTATATATATATATATATGTTTTTTTGGATGGTGAATTTTGATTTCGAGGCCTCACGTGGTAAGGACTTCAACCCTGACACCAACCTTGCAACCAATTCGTACAACTTCGGTGCCCTGCGGTCGCGGGCGAAAACGCCTTTGACAATCGTGAAATTGAAAAAACATGTTACGGAACCGGGAATGAAACCCCGAGAAGAGTCAGCTGGCCTCTTTCTGAGTCTTCAATTCTTCTGCTTCTTTTTCAAGGTTTGCCGCCTGCGATGCCGCGAAATACGCAGGTCGCCACAATCCTTCTAGCAATGCGGCTCTCCAGCTGTCGAGATCTTGTTTGACACCATGTTTGTTTTAACTTGGTATGGAGCCTGTTATACCAGGGCCAAACCCTCATACGGAGGAAGGGTCTGGGCGCCTCTAGGGGCCTCTTAAATCCTTGGTTCTCGAGGCACCAAGGGCAGTGAACGGAGCATCTTAGTATACTTGCAGAAAACCGACTATCTTTGCGTTCTGAAAAATCCGCACCTCGACCGAGTCGGCTGCTGTGACACCTTGGTGGAGTCAGTCGCTCTGCAGAGATGATGGAAGTCGGAATGAAGGAGTTAATTTCATTGAGCCCTCCCAATGCACCCGGGAAGAGACCGACATGGAACCTGAAAATTTTGGACCTTTGGAAGACGGTTCTCCTTTTCCACGCTAATCTTCCCAAATGTAGTTATCTGGAGCCTGGATCTTAAATTTAAGAGTCCCTATTTAACTTAATTCAACTGGGGGCTCATTGTGGCTCATTTCCATTACGGGGTTGAGGTAGTGGAACCTTCCGGTAGTGTATTGGAGGGGTTCTCTATGCCGGGTAATTGATAGAATGTACAACGCATTCAAAGCAAGCAAAGCCGTGCTCAACAGCAAGCACATATTTCCGGCTCACAGAGTACCTGCTGCATCTTGCTCGAGGGCAAACTAGTGTGTCCCTTGCCACACTATACCCACAGGGCCTTTTGACGCAGCACCAGGTTGCATTGCTCAGATTTATGGTCAAAACTCCAGCCTTCTTGAGGTGAGATCCCCTGTTAATGCGTGTGCAGTTAGAAAAGCTTAATGTTCAGGTCACAAGGTGAGAATTCCCAAAAAACTATGGACTCTAGATGCTGAGCCATAAACACATCAAAATCGGAATTACCACACGCTCTATACCCTAGTCCCATGTAAGTACATATCCAATTATCCTCACAGCGGGTTTGGCTGCTCAAAGCTGCAGTCGCAACACATGATCTTTTATCTCCAGCACAGATAGCAAGAGATATTTGTGGGCAGCTGCAGCAACTTGAGCAACACCAGCACGCAAGCTTCAAAGCGCACACTGCTGACAGCAACACCCTACAGTGGCAGCAGCACCAACACCCAAGCTCCAAAGCACATGGCCAAGGACATCCGGCAACAACACCCTCCAGCGGCGCCAGCGCCCAAGCTCCAAAGTGCTCACAGCCATGCACATCTCGCAGCATGCAATGGCACCAAATGCCCAAACTCCAAAGTCACACGGCCACGGACATCTCGCAGGGACACCAGCTCTAAAAGGCACACGATCGCACACGGCCATGGAGCACAGGGCCATGGAGATCTCGTGGCACCAGCAAAAAGTCACCAGACCGGACCCAAGGAACCGAGACACAGGCACAGTCTGCAGAGCGTAACCAAAGGCACAAAGCGGCTGGAGTGGACCCAAAGCACGGAGACACAGTGCCTCTAGAGTGTACCCAAAGGCATATAGACACTGGCGCAAAGCACCCAAGGCACCGAGACAAAGGCACAGTGCCTCGAGAGTTCAAAGGCACCGAGACACTGGCACAAAGCCGCTCGAGTGGACCCAAGGTACCAAAACACAGGCACAAAGCAAGCACTGCAACCCATACCTCCCCTATTCAGAGGATTTCGCAACCACAATCCAAAGTGCAAGCGCTTCCTTGCGCCTCCTGGCTGGCGGCTTGTTTGTTGGTGTGGTGTAGCAGGAGTGAAAGAACTGCACTGCCCACAGCAGGCCCCAGACCGCCCTACCGCACCACACCAAAAATCCACAGTCAGCCCCGTGACACGAACGATGATTGCGTCGACAAAAATATAGCGGCCATGAATCTCCGGTCCACGACGCACATCTTCAGCGTCAGTGTAGATGAAGCCCAGCGGCTTTGCCAGCGATTCACATATGTCGCAAAATGGGCTGCTTCGACAGCAACGCCATTCTGCTTCAAGAAGTGCTCCTGCCCACACCACCGCAGCAATGCCAGCTTCAATGGCTGACTCAATGCAGGACTCACCGAAAGCCCGCGCCAATCATTGTCTGGAAAACCGAGAGACATCAACGCATCAAAAGCAAAGATTGGCGCCTAAAGTCTTCATATGCAGGCAGGCTGTATGAAGTCTGCACATGTTGGTGTGTGTTTGTCTGGCGGAGAGTTCAATCTGTGCTCTTCTCACATGCTCTTCTCTGTGTGGCACAGTTCACCTTTGGTGAATCTTGAGCTGGACATGAGGAATAGGCATAGCATAATCCCAAGTACCTATTACAAAGCACTCCCCAATTAAAAAACACCATGTCCGAAATCCTTAATACGGTTTATATGTGCTTTTAACTTACCGCCCTTTCAAGCCGCTACTAAACTACCAACATGGTCGATTTTTTGAGAGTTCTTTTCATTAGATTCCAAAAGCAACCCTAACTGCCCACCTCTGTCCACCCTGTTTGCCCACCATGACACACGGCGCGTTTACACCAGCACATGTTCCTTCCCCCAATGGCACGGACTCACGCAAACGCACTTGCCACCGAGGCCGCGCAAAATGGCATGGCACAGCGACATCACCTTTCGAAAGCTTTAGTTGTTAGTCTAATGAATCAGATTTTCAATAAAGGTTTTTGTCAAGGGAAAAAGAAGACCTTTCGATCTGGAGGTTATGTTTTCTAATTTTTGATACGCGTTTAATAGAGGATTATATATAACATTTTCCTGGGTGACTTTTTGGTTTTGAAGCTCTTCCTAGGTGTTTGCACGAAATCTGCACTTCAAGCTTCACAAAGCGCTGCGCCTGCCAGGAAATCTGCATTTAATATGTAATCAATGATTGTTCAAAAGGATCCTTTCTCTGACCTTATTTTGGACAACCCCGCTTTAAGGGACCCCCTATTAAAACACATGCACCCGAGTGTTTGTTATTAGGGGGGGCATGTTCTTTAATAGGGGAGGGGATTCATGTGAAAGAACATCTGACGCTATTTGCATATTTTTGTAACATCCATTCAACTACAACAAGGCTCAGCTACTCAAACCAAATGATGACATTTTCTTCATTCCCAACGAATCGCACCAGAACAACTCATCAAGTCGCAGTCGATGTCATGTTTTTGTTCCACCTCATGAGTCCCTTTCCTATGCAAAAGCGAAAAGGGCGTTTTGCATGTTGGTTTGAGGTTCCCACTTGCAGTTTTCAACTATATACAATTATCTGCCATGTTTCTTGGCCATTTTCTGGCCAAGAAACATGCGGAGTCGATGCATGCGACGGGCCATTCACACCAAATGGAAAACACCTTGAGTCAGGACCTTGAGTTCTTGGTCTCCGAACCTAACATCTTGAATAGATATTAATATATAATGGATATATACATGGTTCGCAACGAGACGCAACCTCATCTCCTGGCAGCTCAAAGACAACCGCTCGGCATGCCAAGGCACCACGGAGAGAGGACCGAGACAATTGCACCTCGAGCTTCTCGTTCTCGAGCTGGTCCGGCGAGCTAAAACACCGAGGAGCGAACGAGGAAAAGGGAGGCTTGGATTTGTCGAAGGAAGGGCCACAAACAAAAACACATGTTCGCCGGAAGGGGATTCACCCGTAGGGGAAACATGAACAATCATCTCAAGCGAAGCATAGCGAAACCAGGAAGGGGAACGGGCTCTTTCAGCAGTTTTTCCACGGACTTTCATTATGTCTCCACGTTTGGATTTCTCCTCTTCCTTCCAAGGGAATCGCGCTGGGCGCCTCTTTGGGGCGGTGAAGCTGTGAGAAGTCATGCGGAGATCGTTGAAGTTGAGACCCGATGGACCCTCGATATCCTCAGGTACTTGGAGGTGCAACTGAAGTTGCACTCCCCAACCACCTTGGGGATCTTGGATCTGAACACTTCTCTATCCGATCGATTCATCTCTATTCCACCGATGGAAAGTCCGGGGAAGACTGAAGAATAGTAGAGGTCACAGGTAGAGGTCCCAGGTAGATCGCGTTTCCGGAGCCTTTGGAGCCTTTGGAGGTCCGGTGTCCCCCCAAAAAAGACACGTTGAGAGGACAACATCTCCGGACAATCCACTTTGCAACCAAAGATGTTGTCCTCATGCTTTCGGAAGAGCACACGACGAGGTTTCATTGCACCAAGCCTTCACTCAACCGGCCAACCGGCTGCTCAAACCACAGCTGCCCCTCTATTCGCATCCCGGTTTCCCCACCAATGCCTGCAGTGACTCCGCCTCATGTTTCAGGCGGGAGACCTGGCAAGCCAAGAAGAACGGAAGCAGCTTTCTTTTCAATAAAAGACCAAGTGGATCCAGTGAATACTGATGCTATGATATGCTATGTAGTTTATTTGGAGTTCCAGAACATGGGCCTTGTCGGAAAGGACATAGGGAGACCTTCCAGAAAGCGCTGGTCAAGCAGTTCTGGTCTGTTTTGACTCTTTCCAGATCCACAAGGAGGTCTTTTGGGGGTCTCTCTATTTCACAATTCATATGGATCCTCTCGGAACCATAGAAGGCAGTCTCTGGACAGTCAAACACACGTGGATGTTAGGCGCTAGATCTGTACATCGACAGCATCACAAATATAGATCGAGCTCCTTCTCCTTCCAAAAACCATAAAATCGCTGAGTGAAGAGCACACGTTGGTGGACTTTTTTTTTTTGCATATGTTTGGCTCAAACCTTCCACTGATACCCTCACATTTGTTTTCCCCCATGGTCTGGGGCCCGATGCTTTGTCGACGCGGCCGAAAGGGTCCCTGGACAGCGCCTCCTTTCTCCTCTGGATCAACTCCACCTGACAGCCAATTTTTGCAAAGCAGCAAACAAATCTCAACTCTTGTCACCCTTATCATCTCCACGATCTTGTCGCACTAATCAACAATACAATTCAATACAGATTCTGTCCCCATGGCAAGGATCTTCAATTAGACAAACCCTGCCTGCTTGTCGTTGATCATTCCTCTTAAGGCTTGGATCGTCTTGTCCGCCTGCAAAACCAGCCGGGACCCACACATCGTTTTGGGGCGCCAGGAATGCGTGGCGTAAGCAGGATGACGACGGCAGGACAATGCGAAAGCAAACTTAAACCCATTCATTCTAAGCGGGATTGAGATTGACTTTCCACCCAAACTGAAAGGAGTTTGTGTGATGCATTTTGCTGATTTTGGATGAGGTTCCACAAATCAGCCCCTAGTATCCTTTGTGGCCCTTTTATCCCTCGGATCTCCAAGTGATTTCTGCACTCTTGGCAATATGACTGTCAACCGACCTGCAAATTCATCCTCAGAATCATTTGCACAACTCAAGGTCACTTTTCAGCCACTTGTGGAGACCAATATAGATGCACACATAGGACACAGTATGACTGTATGACCCAGTCTTCTCCGGCCAACCAAAGGCAAAGCCATCGAACTCGCCCCGAAAACGCGGCCAACGCGCACGCCTTGCGGAGACGTTCATCCGCCTCTGCTTGGGTTCCCTGGCGATGGCACACACCAAACCACTGGCGGGAGAGTCCCTCAACTGAAAGCAACCATTGGGTGCCTCAACCGGGATTGATACCCTCCATCCAATATGGCCCTTATGGTTACGTGGAACATGGCCCCGAAGACGGAAGACGGAATTCCTCGAAACAGTTTCAGGCTGTATTCCACGTAGCCATGATGCTTTCAGGATAGGGGTTGGTCTTAAGTGGGTACCCCGGTAATAGCGATGCGATTTTATTGTGCTAAAATGCTGGGACCAACCCCGATGTTTCAGGTCGAGAAGAACCATGGAGAAAACCGTTTCGGGTCTTCCGTTTCGGAACACATCGGGTCCGGCAAGTCTTCCAGCGATGCTGTTTGGGTGCGACCTGCGTCGACCTGCGTCGACCCGGACACACCGACACCCGGACTCGGAAAAAAAACAAAGAAACTCCCAGAACCACCCGGAGAACTTCAAGTCGAAACAGTCTTCCAGTGTATATTGAATATAACTACGAAGTTGCTTGACACTCACATCACCGCTCCCGGCTAGACCCACCTGGGTCTCTCACTGACGCGGGTCTCACGGTTTCAGCCTCTTTTGGTGGTTTTCGGCCCGTCTTTTTGGAGCAAAAGCTGTAGGTGCTCCAATCTAGAATGATAGTGTTGCACACAAATTAGTATATAGATTTTTTTAAGTATGTGCTGTGAGACTTTGTGGGGACTACCATGACTTACATGACAAAGCAAACAAGGAACCAACCAAACATACCAAGAGGCGCTTGGGTCAAGGTTCCTCCTCACACAAAAAAGTATAATAAGCGATCTTCGGAAGCTGCCGTGGATCAAAGCTCGGCCATGCTGCGGCAATGTCCACAAGTAAAATAGAACACGTCCATTTGCTTGGGTTGCTACTTGTTGACCCCTGCTTTGGGTTGGTTTTCAGGCCGTCGTTTGGGAACTATGATCAATACAAAAATTTGTCTCCAAGTTTGTGTGTTGATTGGGCCAATTCCAAGGGCTTCAAGACCTCCCAAGGGCTCGCCACCCTGCGCGTCAACTTCCTCGCGCGGATTAGTCGATGCCTGATCTCCTCTCTCACCGCTGCCCTCACATCTGTGGGCGAGGCGTCTGCCTATGGAGCTGGCGATGAGACCCCAACTCTGAGGGGATCGAATCCGTTCGCGGCAGTTCGTGGAGCAATACCCCGAGCAGATGATGTGGTGGTTTTGTTCGGGGTCCGGATCCTTCGGGCGGAACATTTAGATCATAGAGATTCTGGATGGCCGGATGGCACGGAATATCCAAGCCCTGAATATCTATCGGCCACTGAGACCTGGTCCTTGGAGACCTGGTGCTTTGGAGTTCCCATCGTGCTGGACCGTGGAACAAGACCTACCAACTCCCAAACGCCTTCAGGGAAGACCATTCAAGGAATGGTTGACCTGGTGATGTAGTGTGAATCCTTTAAAAAGACATGCTTCTTTGGTAAAAACCAGTAAATCAATTAATGGTTGTTAACATTTATTCACCAACTCTTCCCTCTTTCCTCCTGCGCTAGCTGTAGACGAAGGTCTCCGACCTCCGCAGTATGCATTGATATGCGTATAAATTCCCAAACTCTTGACCCATTCCAAGAGATTGGTCGTATTCACCAACTCCATGAATGACTTGGATTTGCTTTTCAGGAACCGGAAAGAAAACAAACATGGGGAACATCGAAATCCCCTTAGGGTTTTCCCAGGATGAACTGCGATCTCGCGCTTCCCTTTGAACTTTGCCTTGTCAGCATCTCTGCTTGCCTAGCACGAGGAAGTTTTAGGAATCGAGAGTCATGCTGCAGTAGGATGCAGTAGGTAGAATTGGGAGACGATCTCAATTCATATCAGCTCTTGTAAACATCCAATTATGCTACTATAGTATTTAATATTTGCTGCGGCAAATTAGTCCAAACACGGCCTTTACAACTCTCTGTTCTCCTTCTCCAATCTGCCAATTGATCGCCTCGAAAGGCTTTTCTTGTTGCCAAAGCTGCCCAATCCAAGTTCTCACTACGCGGGACATGGTGACACTGCGGCCACAACTGTTTTTCGTGAGCCGTTTCACCGTGTTTCACCCTGGCTGCCTGCGAGGAAGAAAGACATATTCCGACCTCCCTGCCTCTCCCTGCCTCTCCCTGCCACATGTGGTCCAGTACTCAAAGGACCCTCCGGTGCGGTTTGCTTCGGTCGGGTCCAATGCCCTGAAGGTTCGGTCCAAACCGAAGTGCTTTGGGTCGATGGTTGAGGTACAAGAGCCTCCCACGCCAGGACCGGCGAACACATCCACCGGTCCAGCCTCTGGACTGAACTCAGCCACCTGACGGTTTTGCTCCCACAAATGCTCCGTTTCTTCTCGGTTTCTTCCGTGGGGCGAGAACACATGGTCTTCCAGGCTTCCACCCGACCGTGAGAGTGGTCGATGAAGTTCCGTGCCACGGAAAGACCGCGGGTGTAAATGGAAAGACCGTTCCGAATTTGAAACAGTGGAACAAATAAATCACAATCAATAACAGTGGAACAGTGGAACAGTGGAAACATGTGGAAACTGGAAAAGTCACAATGCTGAGCTCTCTTTTTGGGTCAATGCTGAGCTCTTCCTAACACGAACAGGATCAGGTCTGAACATGAATTGGTCTTGACCGAGGCGATGGGAGAAAGCACCCAGTCGACTGGGTTAACAAGCTACATGAGCAGTGAAACCAGTTGAAACCCGACAGAGCTGAAAACCCAAAAGGGAACGGTGTTCAACTATGCCTACCACAGATTGACAGATCTACTTACTGACACCCAATATTGTTGAGAATGTCCATCACAGCGGCAACAAAAACATGCAGCTTTGGTATGAGTTGGGCCCTATCAAGGCTTGTGGATTATATATCATATTGTTGCACGCCAGGGCCACTTGCTTCGGGCTTTGGCAGCTCCAAGCTTCATGGACGCCCAGAAGAATCCACGAAGCTGGAACAAGAACATTATTTGGGTGTGTCATTTAATTTGAAGATCCCAGACCAGTGGGTTTGCATGGGATTGGTCCACTTTCCTTCTTCCAGGTGGTCTTCGGGAGGTCTCCATATTGTACAGTCATACACAGCAGCACTCTCTGAAATCGCACATGTACTCCATGTACTTTACAAAACCAGGTGGACTCATCCTGACGAAATGGTTTTACCTTCTTCTAGACATTGGCATGTAACCCTCAGGTCTGAGGAGCACAAAAAACCAACCCCCATCGGTCCAGTGTGACAGGCACCATCCAATTCATCACCGGCGGCACCGGATGTTGCCACGCGCGGAGAAGCTTCGCGTGGAGAAGCCAAGGTCAGCCATGCACGGCTTGCCGGGTCAAAAAGGAAAAGAACCGGATGTATACATGACCCCTCTCCCAAAAAAACATGAATAACAGGTGGATGTGTCCTTCTTATACTCGAAATCAGTCTGCTTCACCCGGCGGCCCGCACCGGCGAGCCCATCTCGGGACGCCGAGACCTGCAAGCCGTGAAGGTAAAGATCTATACCAAAAAAGGTGAATAGACCTGGACCCTCCAAGGGGTGTCCAATGGACTACTCCACACTACCTATAGGCTTCCATTGGGCACCCCTTAGAGGGTGCTGGGATGTGTTGTATTGTGTTGTTGTTCTATGTTGTTCTGTTTTTTTGAATTGGTTGAAGGGAAGTTCATCGGCCGGCGTTCCCTTCAAACACTTAAACACTTGACCGGCATGGGTGCCTGGCTGGCCGGGCGAAAAACACGGACTGTTCGTTCAGTGCCAGTTGGGTGGTTGGAGGGGTCGAATTTCGTCCAGTCCAGATTGTAAAGTGTTTCTTATAAATGCCGTTTGTCCAGGGATATGAAGGGTTCCCACTCAAAAAATCTGAAGTTGATCATGACTTTTGGATGGTTCAAAGTGGATCGCACATGTGGCTGATGGAATCCCTGGCCTTGGTACAAACTGGAATCCAATGGTTTACGTTTGGTTGTCCCCAAACCGTGTGCCCAGGTGGAGTTCTATCTAAAGATAGTGTGTATATATATATAATTATCAATATTATACGATGGTTGTTATTGTTGAACATCAATTGTTCCAGGGCCCCTTGCCGTTCGATCCCCTGTTTCGACCATAGACTCCGTCATGAGGGGTTGTCAAAAATGGGTCTATACGTTTATGGTCTTATCAAGTATATAGACCGTAGAACACTCCAGAAACCATTGCATCCCTCTTCTTGAACCGGAGAAGGCCATATTTCGTATACATATCCCACTACCAGGGCCCTGTGGATGATGGTTAGGTTGCAGGTTGTTCTCTAAAATAGATTAAACGAGTGATGCTCTTTAAATGACCAACGGCTCTACAGGTTGGACACAAAGACCCTGGCAGGTCGGTGCTAGTCCAAGGGGGTCGATCTCTTTTCCATGGAACATCGACATTGGAAGAGTTCAGGCAAGTTGCATGCTTGCTTTTCAATGCAGTCGAACAGAATCTCCTGTCAGACAGTCTATAGATGTCTATAGTATACCTGCAGCCTTAAACAAAACAGTTCACATGTGACAGTTCCAACTCGCCAACAAACAAACACAGCAGTAGAGTCAGGTGCTGATCTTGGATTCAATCTCCTACTGACCCATGATAGCCTGTGCCCCTGATCGACAACAGGTGATGTGACAAATGTGGCAGTCAGCTGCTGAACACAACTGAACATCCGAAAAAAAAAAAAAATAAATAAAAAAAAACAAACGAACAACACAGGAAGAGACCCCAAACAATGATTCTTTCCAGGATCTAAAGGTTCTATATAAAGGTCTATGATGAGATGTCTAGAGGTGTGTTCTACACCAGGCATGTGGACCACACTGCTTTTCCGGGAAAAGCCGCACGTCCGCTCGCCCGGCACGTCCCCACTCCCCCGGCGTGCACGTCCCCACGTCCCCACTCCCCCGTCGCGGCCCAGCGACGGCCACGAGTCGGCCAGTCCGGAGGTGTCCTCGGTGGGACCGGTCGAACGAATCGAAGGCCAATGAAGCGCAAAAGAGCTTAGTGGATGATGGTTCGGTGCTTCCAGGCCTTTTCTCATTAAATAGTGATAGATGTGATGAATGTACCGACTGTTGACAGGTACCGGGAGACAACAGATTGCAAACTTAATTACATTATAAGATTGAGCGTCTTCGGGTGATGTGTTCCACAATTATTCTGAACTTGTTTTCGCCGGACCCAGGCTAACTCTGAGAATCGTAGGCTAACAACAAGCAAACAAAACGCAAATGAAAAAGCACACGCAAAAAACAGCAAATTCAAAAAGCACAAAAAGACAAACGAAAAAGCAACAGCAACAAAGAGCGAGTTCAAAAGCAAAAACAATTTTTCACGTGTTGTTTTTCGTTTCGCCTTTTTTTCGCATTTGTTTCGCGTGTTTTTGCTTGCTATGTTTTCGCCTTTTTGCTTGCCCGCATTTATTTCGCATGTTTTTTGTTCCTTTGTTCCGCCTTTTGTTCGCTTTTTGTTTGTTTTTGTGTGTTGTTTTTCTTTGCTTTTTGTATTTGCTGTTGTTTTGCTTTTGCTTGTTCATGTTTTTTTTGTTGTTAATTTGCTGTTTTTTTTTGCTTGTTGTAGTTTTTTTTTTTTTTTTTTTTTAAAGATGCGTTTTTAGTTTGTTTCTTTACATTTGCAAAACCATCAGAGTTATGCTAAGTGGTTAACACAAACCTAAACATGTACGAAAATGGTCGCGAGCATCACGCACGAATCCTTTCAGGTGAAGTCATCCGGGGATGAAGTCATCCACCCGCCCGGATTCGGCTTCCGAGAACTGATCAATGCAGTGCAATTAATTTGCACTGAGCCCGGAGCTCTATGGTGATAATATGACATATGTGATAATCAACCATTAGCAACAGGACACAAATACTCAATACACCCACAAAAATACCCACAGAATGTATATAGATCGGCTTAACATCATTCAACGTGACTGAACAATAGATCCAAGCCACTTGCACACTGGAAGACCCCGGAAGTTTGGTCCAAAGTCCCCCAAAAGACCACCGTTTTCTTGTTTTTGTCCGCGACCGTTGCCTCGAGCGAAGGACTAAGCTGTGAACCAGTTGTGCAGAGGCCTCGAACGATCAACCAAAAACGAAACGACAATTTGGTCACCGAGATAGAGTTGCATCGAGTGAAAGAACGTGCCAAGTGTCAAGATATGCCAAGTAGAAAGTGACAAGTTTAGGCAGTCCCCCCAACTTTAGGTAGTTTCCGCTTTGAACATGAAACAGCAACTGTATTGTTATGTTTGGGTCCCCCAGATCTTCAGGAAGAAAGAACGATCAACAATCTTTAAATGGGTCGGGCCGGAATCCATAATGGCCGGAATCCATAATGTCTTCTTGAAGGTGTAGATCTATGAACACTATAATGTAGACGTGACTTCCGATGGAAGCAACCCAATGGCTCTCTTATGCTCTCATCCTGAACGGGCGAAGCCAACTTGCGTTCCCACCGAGAAGAATGGATTTACCTAAATGTCCAGCCAATTTCGTAAAAACCGCTGGATGGGATCTCCCCCGGATTTTGTGACCAGAACATCTGACTTTGAGTGGTTTGGGTGGTGCTTTGGCTTTCATCCCAGCTCCACAAATATGATGATCAATTGCTATATATATATATATAAGAGCATTGCATAGCATTGCTATATAGAACAGGTCTCTGTTTTGCTGGTGAATCCATCCTCACTGTTGAATGTCCACTAGACACATCATGACACATCCAACGACGGTCCAACGACGGCGAAAACGAAGATCCTGCCTGGCTGCTCCGCACCTCTCTGTACAAGGCCTACCGGGACATGGCACGATGTTGTCAAACATCCAATGGACCCTCCATATCCCTTCATCGCAGGGGTTCTATACCAATCGAAATATCCTCAAAAACCGTGTTTGGATCCTTAGGGTAGGATCCGCCAAGACTGGAACAGTCAAGGCCCCTTTTGGTGTCTCACACTTGCGAAACGTTTACAGGCCCGCTTCCCCAAACGCGACCAACTCCCGTTTAGCGACCAACTGGTTCCAGGGCGCCTGCAGCATTCGTGCATGCTGGCTATAGGACCTAAGCAAGCAAATGTGGCTGTGCATGTGGGTGTAATGTTCAATGTGGCAGTATCGCACTAAATCAGATGGGGCAGGGCGACCAACTGGTTCCCTTTTAAGTTATTTTCGATCGTGGTAGCCTGCTGATCCAAAGGCACTGCAAGCGGTTGGCACCCTGTTCGCGGCATTAAAAAACTATATATACACCTATATTGTGCCTCCTTGGCTGCCATGTCTCAAAACGACAACGAAAACGTCGATGCCGGAGTCGCGCCCGTTGTCGTACCAACCGACTCCCGTTGGACCGATCCGTTGTACGACTGGGACCCGACACTGGCACCTACATGTCTCAGTGCCTCCTTCCTCACCGTACCTGAGAAGGTAGGACTGGATCCCAGGCTTCGAAGGAATTCGGGGACCGGTCACATCGGCTTCGGACAAGACCGGACCGTTGACACCGGGTGGGGCGGACCGAGCTTTGACTCTGCGGTCGCGGACAATAACTTTGATGTCCCAGGTGAGACGTGTATTGAGTCTGGGGAGAATCCCATCACCGGATATAGAATGACGATTAGGTCCTGAGTGTGGATCAGGTCCTGTGGACCATGTAGTTCAGCAAAACAGCCGGCATGGGACAAACCCTATAGTATACAGTAGCTCTGGAAAGAACCATCTGCACTCTATCCAGTATGCGAACATCCAACATTGAAATATCACTTCAGGCCACTCAACACATGTGGGCACAGAAAGCCAAAGCAAAGGACTTCTTCTTCCACAATGGTGAAGAGTGGGGCCGGGGACGCGCTGTCCCTGCCGGGTGTGGACGCAGCAATGTCAAGCAATGACGGTGCCTTGAAGTCCACAGTAAGACCCTGCAGATTTTCACATTGATCGTCCACTCCCACTGTGGCTTTGTCCTTGCCGCTCTGAAATCCCACACAAATCCGCCAGGCCTTCGCGAGTTCAGGTGCCACCCGGGCAATGGTATGCTCCAGCTCCGCTGGAAGCGCAAAGTCGAAGCCCTTGCTGCCAGAGCAGCGAGGTCCAGCCCGAATGAGGTCCCCATCGCCTGAAGGAACCACGCAAAAGATCCGATCCGACTTGGAGGCATAGACGGCCCGGCGTGCAGCAAAGCGAGCCACATGAGAAAAGCCACCAGTGTCACATTCATCCATCATGGAAATCTTGGCCTTGAGACTTGCATCCTGACCAATACAAATACCAATGCTAGCAACGGGATCTGGTGCAGGCACAGGATCAAAACTGAAATCATGCGAAAATCCATCACCTCCACAGTTCTTCTTGGCCACCAATTTCGAAAAGGACGTTTCTTCCGATTCCGTCTTGCGGGTTCCACTGCAAAAGGAGGCTCCGTCCTTGACGTAGAAGGTTCCTCCATGGATCCACTTTAATCCAGCCCAGTTCTCAGGACAGCTCGTCCCTTTCCTGGTCGACGGTCGATTTTCAAAAAGAACATGGGTTTAGGGTTTTAGGGTCATCCCAACAAATTAGGAGGGCCTGACGGTTTCTCGAATGATTCAAATTACTATATGTTAACATGTTTGTGATTAAAATTCTTGGGAGATGTTACACTTTCTGGAATATAGTCACGGAAGTGGAGTTCACCACCTGTTTGTGGAGGATTGAAATGGTCATCCAAGGGGCCATGCAATCCATTTCCATCATGATTGCAGGGAGATGGTCATTCCCAATGACCGGCGTATTATGCCGCCCTAATGACCCCTGAAATCAACCACTCCAATGTTGTGTAAATAGGTCATGCATGGAGTATCTGGGGATAGGGATGGACCAACATCTCCCGGATTTAGGCGGGAGATTGTTCAGGGATGGGAAGATTCCCAAACTGAGAGGGATATGATATAACCGCAAAGATATACTTTAAAAATAGAAATAGAAATAAAACGAATCAAGCACATACTTTGATTTTGTACCCCTATTGCTCAAAAACGGACAAACCAACATATTCCAATCCAACACCCAGTATCACAAAGATTTGAGTCCAGTACCTCTCATTGTCACACCAAGAGATGGCCTTTGTTCCTTCCTTGTGCTGTGCATAAGCTCTCCAAACGCCACCCTCCACGGCATCCCAGCCACCACCACTGCAATGATCCCCTTGGTGGACGCTATACTTATTGCCACCTTTCTTCAACTTCGAGGTGCACACACAGAAGAAGGTGGGTGGATCTGCAAATGCCTTCTGCTCTTGAAAGCTTTGTAGAATCACTTCAGCTGGCCTTGGATCCGCCACGATGAGGGCATCTTCCATGGCACTTCCTAGGCTTCTCAAATAGACCACCAGCATCCGCTCCATGCCGCTGTGAAAGATCTTCGCCACCTGCTGCCTTCGGTCCACCAACAAGAAGTTCGCCGACCTGGCGCCGGGGCATTCGCTGCCGTCGGGCGCGGCGAAGCTGGCGATGCGGGAACGCAAGGCATCGAGATCCCAGGGAATGGATCCCTCACCCATCTTCTGAAGGACCCAACCTTGGATGCGGTACTCGGAAGGGACCCGGAAGCTCTTCCTATTCCGAACAGGATTCACCCAGGGACCGGGAAAAGAAAAAGGACCTTATGACAAAACCAGGCAACCTGCCGGTAAGACTTTGCTACTTTGGCAAAAGCCTGGAGGGATGGCGACGGGAACATCTTTCACATGAAAGGGTTTCTTTCCACGGCGCATCTTGACATGATGGTAAGTAATACCATAGGTCTCCTTGTCTGCAGTGTCCGATTGAGCATCCACGATGCTGAAGGCCAGGCTATTTAAGCCGTCGGTCTTCCATCTGCTTCCTCCAGAGCCGATTTCTCTCAGTTGATCCAGGTTGCGGGCATAGGCACGACTATCGGTGATACGCTTGGTGTGGTTGGCACTGTGCATGAACTTGCCACTAAAGCGGCCAAAGCCTTTCTTCGGACGCTTGATGGACTGCCCTGGTTTTCCGATCTTGGCATCATTCTTGGCACAGTAGGGGTAACAATCGCCATACAACAAGCCATTCAATCGTAAGCGATGGTGAAGCTCATCGTCCTCGCCCCCCCATCCGAAGTAGTTGTTCCCAAAGCCGTTGATCTTCCGCCAATGTCGCAAACTCATGCCCACAATGCCACCTGCGCTGGTGAGATATGGTGTTTTCCAGTTGTAGCGGTCTATCTCGGCACTGAGCTGTGTGGGTACCTCGCAATCGGAGTAATCCACACCCTTCTCTGGCAGGTAGTCAATGTCCTGGATCACAGCGCAGTCAAAGTCAAAGCCCATATCTGGCTTGATATCCTTGGATTTGCAAAGCAAGGACCTGGAATAGACATGTTGAATTAGAAGATATTAGAAGTGTCTTTGGCGGTCAAACATGGTTTATGCATTTATAAGGTTCCTCTGCCAAAGGGTTTGGGGATGTTTGGGGCGTATACTTGGGGCCATAGCAGCCATACTCCAAATGCAAAAACCATATTAAGCCTGCACTTCCAGGCATCAGGAGATGCTGTCGTCAGAGCGGAAGCAATTGCCAGTGCTCCATTGAAGTTCCAACCGCGATTGAATGTCTCTGAATCAAACTGCTCTGCTACAAAGACCACCCAGTGCTGCACGGTCTTGGGAATCCGTCCATGTTCCGAAAACCACCGCCAGTATTGTTTAAAGAGCTTTAAGTGAGACTCCCGATCGCGAAAGGGGATGATCACCACCACCGTCTTGCCCTTATGTCCATCTTTAGGAGGCATTGGGGGTAAGCTAGCAACACTCTGACCCAACTCCTTCGCATATTTCTCCTTGTAATTCACACAGCCCTTGCAAAGGCAATGCTGTTTCGACCCTCCACACCAGCCCAAGGCAGAGCAGCAAGCAAAGTCCCCGGTGGGATCACACTCCGCGACCTTTCCATCTGGCAAAGGTGAGGCATTCGACCCACATCGACGATCCTTGCGCCAGCGCTGCTCGCGCTGGTTAGCGGCCTCTGGACGTCCAGCTCCAGCCGTCGAAGCCGCCGAGCCGCTGGAGCCCGAAGCCGCCAAGACACCGCCGACGCTGCCGGAGGCGTCTCGCGGCTCGCCGACGGAAGCGTCGTCCTTCTTCGGAGGTGACCGCCCTCCTTTCATCTCTTCGTCGAGGTCATGAATGTGTTGCTCAAGTGCCAGCAAGCTTCTCTCTACATTCTTCATGGCTGTAGGGAATTCCATTAGTCTGCTCATCGTGCCAGTGTCCAAGGTGCTTTGACCTCCGTGAACGTGGCTGGGAACCAACTTCGCCATCTGGAAGGTGTGATTGAACGATACCAGGATCGTCAGCCCACATGCTACCACGATGAGAATCAGCAGAATTCGAGTAATGGAAATCATGGCTCTGGGCCAAGGGCTGCAAAAGAAAGAATCCAAGCACCAAAATGAACCAAACCATACCAAACCTTCAATCTGCGACTGAGAATTGCAAAAACCAAGCATCCCAACACTGAAGAACAAGAACATTCCCTTTTCCTAAGCAGTTCTCTCTCATCCTGACTGCACTGCCCTGCAGAGGAACTTGGACAATTAATCAAGTTGGACACGCCAGTGCGGTTGTGGTGCAACAAAAAGATATCTAACAGGAAAGCCCGACCACATTCTACTTTTCGGATCTTTCGGTAGGTATTTATTCATGATGAAGAATCAATATTATTGGTTTCGGTACCAAGAAACATGAAAGCACCTAGCCTCACTCGTTACGAAAAATGGATCCAAAGGTGCAACCACCACTTCTGCAAAAATACACCCCCCTGCAGGTGTTTCTGCTCCCGCTTCAGTGGCCCCTTTGTAGACCAAGCAGCTGCATCAAACCCAAAACTCGTGCAGCCTTGCGAGAAGTAAACAGCAAAAGCGATCGATGGGGTGGACTAGGGTGATCAAAGTGGTACAGCAAAAGCTTCGCTATGAGACCGATAGAAAAGGTGTCTGCCTCCGCTGAATCCGCCAGGGCATTGGATCCGTAGAATTGATCCCAGGTGTTGCCATCCCGGTTCAGCGATACACCGAGTGTGCTCGTGTCAAACACACGCTTCGAACACACATGTCGAACACACCTGTCAAACAGACAGGCAAACTTCTGTTTGGAGTCCATGCCAAGCGAAAGACTCCGGGGAAACAACATGTTGCCCAGCTGCAGAATCCTAGGACCCTCCCAAAACGACTAAGCCACCTTCCATAGCCATCTCCACAGGGATCGGGTTGTCTCAAAACCCGATCCTGTCCCGATCCAAGTCCTTCGGGCTGATGTGTACGAAACACTGTGGCAAATGGTGTAACTGTATGTCCATTGGTGAACCAAACTGTCAAGCGCATGCAGTGAAACAACATCCAGCAACTACAGGGTGGGTTCTGGTTCAAAAGATTGGGGTGTGCCATTGTGAGCCCCGTTGTGTTCTCCAAACCTCAGCTGAGAGGAACTTGGTCGTGCCCCTGGACATTTGGCTTTGAGTCAACACCAAAATACCCACGTCTGTACTCCGGCCGGATGGTCGTCTTAGCGAACTGCATGATTGCGCGATGCCACAGTTTTTCATTACGCCAGCATAGACCCCAAATAGCAAAAACATAGTTGTAGCACCCGAGAGCGCCATGTTGAAGTAAGAACCCAATAAACACCTTGCCTGGTCACGCTCACATTCGTGTTTTTGGAGAGCACTGGAGGTTTCCGGGAAGCCGACCTTCCATGTTTTTGAAGCTCAGACCCAAACGCATGGAATTGGTGGCGTAAAGACTCTGGAGTTCGACCAAGTTAAACAGAACTTGAACACCAAATGCTGGACTTGGATGGATGGACAAAGTGTCCAATTCGTGCGAAATAGCAACCGTTGGAGCTGACCCATCCGGTCTACCAAACGCGTGCCATACAGTGCGCGACACCGACGCGTGCCACAGGAATCCCACCTTTTCCTTCTCCGACGCGTCGAAGAGGTAGTTCCTGCTGGCCTGGAAGGGCAAACGTGCCCAATGCAGTGCAGTTCATCCAGTGGGGTAGCAGGATGTAGCAGGTGGTGATCGGATCTGACACTATTCTCGGAGCATTGATCGTTCATATCGCTCCAAGGGGACACGGCAGATGGCCAGGTCGACAAGGCAAAAGCAACCACCTGTTAAAAAAAGATGTTTAAAGGAAAACGGTCTTCCAAGAGCCCCTGCTATCCACGTAACCATGAGATGTGTTCGGAGTGTACGTTGATGACAGAACCCCCCCAAACATGTAGCAATGTAGCTTGGAAAGGAGGAATGCTGCTGCTTGGCAGTTGCAGCTATGGCCTCTTATCATCTCCTATCGCTAAATACAACTAAATCTCAGGGGGGCCCGTTCCACATGAATGCATTTTGTTACTCCTGAAAACCACATCATGTCACAAACCCGGGCTCCATCTTGGGACAATCAAGCTTGCCTGCGGAATGCTGCCAGCATAGAGGCTGAGACAAACCTGGGGAAAGCAAAAGAGAAGCAAAAGAGATGCTATGCTACGTGGCCGTGGGTGAAAAGTGGGAGACCCTGGTTGACCACCGAAAATGAACAGAATAAACCACCAGGGAGGATTAGGGCTGGGGGTTTTGACCCACACCCACGTCATTTTTTAAAGCTATATACTATATTATATATAGTTATATATAGTTATATATAGAGGTCTGTGACTGTGACCGCTTGCGCCGCTGCTTCCTCTCCTCGCAACAAAAACAGCCCGTTCCACGGTACAAGGGACCAGTCATACGTGTCCGTCACCTTGCGCCTCAGGTGGTCCACCGAGGTGATGGACATCGTGATGGACCCCCCTCGCCCAGCGAGGTCTCAAAATCAAACCGGTTCGCTCGGACCACAGTTCGATCACAGTTCCAGGGTCATGGTTCGAAGGTCCAGTATGGTATCGAGGCACGGTATGTATCAATACATATATCGAGGGCCCCCTTGGCACCAAAAGGGGGGGCCCCCTAATATACATTTACGGCAGCTGAAAACATGGCCATCACTGACCTCAAGCTCGGAAAATATACATTAATTCGATCGAGGGCCCCCGAATTCGATTAATTGCATTAAGCTGTTGGAAGCTGACACACCGCACACAGGTTTTTTTTGCTCTCAATGTGCTGCAGTCCCTGCATGCGCTGCATAGACATGGACATGTGATTTTGATTTCACTACTAACTACTACTAACTACTACCTACTACCTACAACCTACTACCTACTACCTACTACCCACTACCCACTACCCACTACCTACCACCTACCACCTACTACCTACTACTACTACTACTACTACTACTACGACTACTACTACTACTACTACTACTACTACTACTACTACCTGGACTCCGGGAACCAGTGGAACATGAGTTCGGGTCCGGAACGCTTGAAACTCTGGTCGGGCCCCGGATTTGGACTTCATGGACTTCGGGTCCCGAACCAGTGGAACATGAGTTCGGGCCCCGAACTCTACCGACTCTACAATCTTTACAATCGTTACAACTACCTCAGTGCCATTGACAGCTGACACGGCTGACAGCCCAATGTTTCTGAACATTCAACGCCTTCAAATTTGAACAAGAAGCCTTGCCCAAGATCACTAAGACCCTTCTCTTGACTGTAGGTTCCGGGCCTGAATCACCGTGAATCACATCAATGTGGGAACTTCCTTCAAGGCCAAGTCCAGAGTTTCAAGAGTTCCGGACCCGAACTCATGTTCGGGACCCGAACTCTCGGGCCCCGAACTCATGCGCATGCATGTTCACTCTCATGTTCGGCACCCGAACTCATGTTCGGGACCCGAAGTCCATGAAGTCCAAGTCCGGGGCCCGAGTCCAGTGTTTCA